CGCCGTCTATAAATCACGTGACACGCTTGTGCATATGGAATCATGTTCATATAAATGCTACTATGGCACAATACGATGCGACTTTAGCAACCGCACTTGATATTACCGGTGAATATAGCGTGAAAAACAAAGTGAAAAATAAACGGCGCAGCAAAATTGTAATTGGAAAAATTGCTGATAAAAATTTGCACAGAGAATATGCGCGAGTTCGATGCAACGACAAGATAAACATTTCGGGAACGATTGGAAAATCTATGTAGAACGATCTCACGTATTTTCACAATAAACGAATGTTCGATGCTAAAGTTCGATTACTTAATATAACTAAAACTCGGTAAAACATACCTATATATAGATAGACAAAACAATGTTTTTTTACACTTATTTTCCGACGAATTATTTTATCTTCGATTTGGTTGCAGTTGGCCACTTAACTGCCCTATTATCGGCTGGAAAATAACTTACTGTAATTAACTTAAACAATATATCGCTTTAAAGTATCGTTCAGGATCGTTGAGTAAATGCGCAGAGTGCACGTGATATATTCGATAATGAATCAGTAATAGCTAATTGACTCAAGTCCTTCAATTTAGAAGGATACTAGATGAGTATCAAGATAGTTAATTCTTTTATGTGAGATACTGTGATGATACTCTAAAGATAACTAAAAATATATTATCACTAATAAAATTCTTTTTATTATAATACAAAACTTGATTATTACTTTGCGCATGTTATTCTTGTGTATGCATTTCGCGAGATGTAAATGAGCACGTTGCGTTACAAATAAAGGCTTTTAAAGATAAAGCATTAATCGACATGATAACGTGAATGTCGTGCCCTTTTGATAAAATCCGTAATAAATCATTCATTAATTCGTGTTCATTCGCTAGCCAAAGCTGCCGCTTCGATATGGTAATTAAGAGTTGCCCCCCCAGGCGCGATTTAATTCGGCAGAACTCGGCTGATCGATTCGCATCAAGCGGAGATCGGAATTTATCGCCACTTAAACTACCTTTTTTTTTAATTTTCAGCAATTTCGCACGGCGTTCGTTAAAGTGTTGGAAATTCCCGATAATGGTGTCGCGCGAACGATCGAGTTGACCGCCGCGACCGAATAGGAACCGTTAAAAATTTTCAGCTGCCGCTGTTACTTTTTTAATAATCCGTCGAACTTGGTCGAGAAGTGAACAATTGCACGGCCGAATGCTCTCACGATAATATTACGAAAGTTGCTTTAGTCTTTTTTTGTTCGTTCGGAATTAACGTCACGATAACACTTATGATTTTATCACTTAATTTTCGCGCTAAAAAACAGCCGTATCGCGAAATCACGCCCGTAATGTGACACGCAGTGCTGAAATTGCCGAGACATAAACACCGTCGGCGGAGCGACACATAAATCAATAAAACGTAAACGTCTGCCAAAGAATCGTAAAAATGTTTTTCGCTACTGGTTCGCGATAACGTTGTCAGCGAAACCCCGGGATTTTCAATCTTTCGAGAGATCGATAATCGAAGTGCTCTCGAAGAACGACAAGAGACTAACGGAGATGTAAGGAACATTCGGCCAGAATCATTCGCGCGAATCTATTGAAAATACGGAGATCCTTCCTTCTTGAAAATGGAAATGGACTAGCGATGTTGGATAACAAGTAGCGGCTGACTATCGTCGCAAAGTAAAACAAAGTTGCACGGACGTTATTCAAGTCTCGAGCGGAGCGAACAATTCTGCTCGGATGCGCACTTTTTACGTGTGTATTTTATCTGACTATTTTCTCTTACTGTACGTTTCCATCGCAAATCCGTTCTTTGTGTATATATTTCCAATAAGAATTTACATTTGTCTTATTATTTATTATTATCCTTGTGCGATTTTAATCTTAATTCTTGGAACGGCACATTCGTTCTATTCGAAATATGAGGATTACAAAAACACAACAATGCAAGATATTAAATTTACGGAGAAAAAGAATTGCTTGTCGATACGGAGACCAATTTCTTCGATGATAAGCGCATTTATCTTGATCCTTAGAACGACGCGTCTTTTATCGCGACACAAATCTTGCGGTTAATATCGCTTTCCTCGTCGACTCTCGCGAGTTATGAGTTTTCCTCATCCCACCTGACGATCTGAGGAGGAACGACGCTACTACTTTTCCCTAAGTATTGAGCAGAAAATGCGGAGGAAAAATAGCGTGTGGTAAAAAGAAATGAGACATTCCTGCTATCTCATCCAAATTTTAGAGGATTGTTTATAACGTGAGACGGGTAGGAATACAAATTTACTCGCGTGCACGTTCAACGGAAATAGTATATTTGGAAGGCGAAACGGCAGTACCACCGATATAAATCATAATTCTTTCTTTTACGAGTTGGATATTCGTACGTCAAATAGGATATTCGTAATCCGCTTGCGTGTGAAATCGTTTAAAAAATTCGCGAAATAATCGCTAACAAACTACTCTGATATCAGGGGAGGAAATAAAGAGATAAAGATTTCACAACGTGCGTGGGTTCAGATGATCCGATTGCCACGTACGATGTACGAAAGAAAGAGAAGCGTATATGATAAATTCGCCAAAATTCATGTTAATAATGATAATCAAAAATATTTGACCACGGGTTTCGGGCTGTTCCGACGGTACCGATCGGTATCTTATAGCGAAGGCGCGAAGATTGGCTAATTTTGAGTGCGGCGAAACATGCGCGAGAAAAGCAAAGAGACGATAGCGACGACGAGCGAAATCACGGAGAGAGGTGTGTCGAATCCTCGTGAATTCTAATCATCGAAGGTGGTACTTTCAACGTGATACGACGGCAAGGTTTATTTGCGCGACGAATTTCCGGAACAAATTAAGCACGAGAAGCGTCTGACTTCTAATTATAATCGATTAAGCCACGCTATTTCAATCGTTTCTCCGAATGATCAAACACGACGAGAGGAAGGTTGATTACAGAAAAAAGTTGCACGATAATTTTTTATCAAACATATAAGTGCGCAAAAAATAAACAATACTGAATAAACGAATAACTCGTGACAGTGATATCGTGATGTAGGCAAGACCGTTTCTCATTCTTCTGACGGTGACGACGACATTTTAATTTCATGGGACGTTAAATACATTCTCGAAGACGAAAGATAGAGAAAGTAAAAATGAAGAAAATCTACAATGAGGAGAAAAGAAGAGAGAGAACAGAGTGACCGTTTTACGGGTCTCAAGAGAACGTAAATTTAATGTAAAGTCTGTGGTTAATTAAAAAAAAAAAACTAATAAAATAGCAGCTTTTGAATTTTATATAAAAGACTCAACCAGCTTTTCCAACAAAAATTTTTCATTATCTACTTTTTTCGCGTACTTTACTTATACTTTACTTGAAATTTGATACTGCATAATAAAATAATATTAATTTGCGGTGATAGTCGCTGAGATGACGAATAAATTCTACGACTATACAAAAAACAACAAAAAACATTATTACGCCTTATATAGCCTTTTAAACTAAAATCAAGCGAAATCAAATATAAATCAGAGTGCTCGACGTTATTCCGCAATATCCCAATCAAACTTGGAGCTTTCTATGAATTATTCATGCTACAATCTGGCTGAAATATCGGAAATATGTCATTGTAAAGTCCGCCCGGCTGGACATTGCACAGACTAAATCTTCAAGAGACTCCGTTTCAAGCATCTTATATTTAGTTATTTTTTCTATCAGACAATTAAAACTATTTTATAGTTCAACTAATAGTTTGAACAAGTTTCCATATATATTATACAACACTTATACATTATAAAAATTTGAAGTTTACTTTGACATAAGTAACTATTTTAAAACTTTTAATTTAAAAAAAACAATAAGTTTTTTAATCACGTGACTTATACGTGCCACATGTAAATTTGCTGAAACGTAATTAAACGCAAGCGTACGCGTAGATATCCCGCCGATGATATCCTTCCATAAAACACAAGCACATCGAAAAGGTCATAAAATTCGACCAAAACAAAACCGAAGAAAAAAAAACAAAAGTGGAGCACGCTCGCACAAATCGAGTTACCGTGCGCTTTATTTCCTTTTGTGACTCGCGGCAAGTTGGAATTATTTGCAGCTTGCGACCATGAATTTAAAAAGCAGCTTGTACACGCTCGAACGTACGCGTGTGACAATAATTTGTTGTGCAATCGAAAAATTATAACCGCAAGACTAACTCAGTTAAAACGTGATAAATTTTGCTGCCACATAAGTTATATAAAATACGTAGAAATAAGCACTTACTTTGGTATCGTGTGTAAACAAATCCTAGTGTCTTCGTGCTGCGATTCCGTGTTGCTTCGGCATTCACCATTGCACTTGCGAATGACACGGAAGATGCGTTTAAAAATGGCGACTGGAAACGAAGCTTTCGAACGCGAATATTATACGCATACATATTAAAGTTTTTTAATTTACTTTTTTCTTTGTCTTCATCCAAGTTCTCTCAATGTACGATAATGTGTACACAGTCCCAGAATGTTCTATGTGTTAAAAATTCATTTCAACAAAATTCAATTCAATTCAACATTCGAAACAATTGCATTAGAAAAAACGTGACAAAGCGACGACTTGGCCGACACTTGTTGCAAATACCGAGAACTATGTTAATCGCGGTTGCGCAAGTCAAATAATGTATCAAAACAATCATTTGTTGATAGATTTGTCACTCCCGACACTGTTTTGTACACAATATTCGATTAAAACAAGCAAAACGATGCAAAAAACGTGTTGATCGCGATTCACGACTCGATCGAACAAGTCTTTTGAAGAATTCTTATAATAAAATAAATATATTTGTGTGTGTGTGTGTGTGTGTGTGTGTGTGTGTGTGTGTGTGTGTGTGTAGTTTAATAATTAAAAAAAAAGTTTCACATGTGCCACTTGAAAAGTTTTACTCGTTTAAGCCGAAAATGATTCAACAAAGATCAAAGATGTTTTTACTCACTAACGTTACATTTTTATAGTTTTCAGCAGATGATGTCGGTTCTGGCGAAAGCAACTTGTTGGACGGTTCCGGCGACAATGATTTGAATAAGGTAGACACGAGTTCGTCGGAAATTGCGTTCCGACTTCGCTAAATTGACGCTATAGTGACACAATACATGCGCGCACTAATTATGTGTGTTGCATCAATGCTGAACCACTAATAAATGTTATAATAAGGCTTAAGGTAATTTACTAACGAGATTAAAAGAGATATTATGTAAAAGCATGAAGTACCAACTGAAAAATAATCAAAAAAGAGAATATACATATGATTGACGAAAAATACTATAGAAAAAATTAATGTGTCAATTATATCACACATAATCTACATATAATATTAGTATACATACATAAATATACTAATCATTTATAACATATGTATATACTAATCATTTGTAACAGTCATTTATAATATCTGGCTAATTTACAATTAATGATTTTACGAGTTTTCTCGACAACATTATAGTTTTATATCCTTAAAATTAACTAATCCATGTAATGGATTGAAGTTTTAATGAGAACTTTCTTAAAAGCTCTGGTTTATTAGGAGAAAACGATGAGGGGGAAAGAGAAAGGAGAAATTAGGTTACGCGGATAATCTCGTAAATATCGGGGAGATAATCTCGAAAATTCTGTTAGGATTTAGCATTGGTAACTTTGTCTATCCAAAATGTGTCCTCCGTTTCCATCTTTACCATCTTTACAGTCGTTATAAACTTTATCATAATCTGAATGAGATTTGAGCATGCTTTCAAAGCAGTATACGTATAAATTATGCCAAACCATCAAGTTTATCCTCAAAAGAAATATCTGCAAATTTGCGACTACGTAACGTAATATCGAAAGTGTATAAGGCAAATGAAATTATTAGATTATTCAATATTCTCACACTTAATATCGTTACGCGCTCTGTACCAATTAATAAAACAATTACAAGCGCGAGATCAGTTTTATGGAAATTAGTTTTCAGTAAATTGCTTTTGGTGATACCTATCTAGAAATTGAATTAGACAGTTTGAAAAACAGTTTGGAATGATACTTACAAGTTTGCGATAGTCAATTTGCGCGGGTTTTAAACTCAATAAAACTCATACGTGAATGTAAATGCACGTGCAGAGGAAGAACTGATACACTCTTGGGAACGAATCAGATGTGTTGGTCAGCAGGGTTAACTTCCAGCAAGCTGCAGCGATGCGTCTAATGCGCCGTCAAGAGACAGACGACTCTCCTTTCCGCACCAAATTCCGTAATGAATCGACGATCTGCTATACGTGCGCCACGTGTACACCTTTCCGGAAGTTGAGATGGTAGTTTGTGTTACAGCGTCCGGTGATCCGTGCCGAGCCAATAGCATTTTGATGAACCCGTCTTCGGCTTCGACCCAGTTCTCTCCATGCTTTTACCATTCGCTAAATTTATTAGGTCAATCTCCGGGTTCACAGGTATCGCGATGTCTTCCACTTCCAAAAAAATGATTGTCAATAGTGTGTCGCTTGACGTGTCGTAAAACTTCTAATATGTTTTTACTAACTGCAAACACACAGTATTATTTTTCAGTTTTCTTCCAAGTAGAATATATAATATTAACACAATTGCCCAATGATAGTTTGCTTAATAATTCAATCAAATTTTGTAAATTTAATTCTCATTTCCGTCCTGATTCTCGATTTTATCTTAAGAAATGTATTGATTTTCTTCTCATAATTCAAATTAAAGTTTGAAGATTGAATTGGTGGAAAACTAAATTTATTAAAGAAGATGTAAGTATATTATTAAAAGAGATTAATATAACACTAATTCACTAATAAATTTAAAAGCATTAAACATATAATAAATTTACTGTTGTTTGTTTATATTCAGATTTGTTTAATATTCAGAGTGTGTAAATCTTAGTCTGGTTTTAAATGTATATTACGTGAGTTGTGTAGAAATATCAACTTTTCAGTAATTAGCCACGTTTGACATAACAAATATACACGGAATAATTAAGTTTGCAAATTGATCCGAAATTTATTTAGTTCGATTGCAAAACTCTCTCTCTTTCTCTTTCGAGATACAGCGAAGAAATAACAATAAATGCGTATTCTTATGATACAATCCCGCATCATCCCGAATCTTCGGCGAGATTCTGCCGTTTGCGCTCGTCCGGAAATTCAGTCGAAGTTCAGTCGTGGCGGGCTTTTCTTCGCGCGGGAAGAGCGGAATTTATTTCACCCGTAAAATCCCACTCTCGTGGAAAGCCCTGGGAATGTACGACGGCAGGATGCAAAGACGCGGTCGTGCATAGGAGAGCTGATCAGGATATGTACCGGGTGAACGATTTCAATGGTACGCCCGAAACGTTCGCGCAGGAGCTACGTGTCGTTACATTCCTACGTGTTACTGCGATCGTGCGGCAGGTGTTACGCGCACGTTTCACGATTGTGTGTTCATGTATATGTGGATGGAAATGCATGGATGCCGACGTAATTCCGCCATCGTGAACGAATATGGAAAAAAATACGAATTTAACATGACGAGCACAGCCAGCTTCATAAAACTCCTCTTCTCGAAACTGAAACCTCAATTCTATTCCTAAAGCGCACATTTTTTCGCGGGGTTTTATCATGTAACCTCGTATACGAGTCAACATGCATAATTATTCCAATTACGATGTGCGCTTGAAATCGACGAGTATTGAAATAACGTAAAAATTTATTACATGTGTGTACAAATTCACTACAATAAATTAAAAACAAAAGATTGAAATATATTAAATGTAACTAAGTTATAAACAAATAAAACCTGAACATTTTCTTTTGAAATTGTTTAATATTATACATATCATTACATTGCAATAGTTATAACAAATGTAATAAATATACTTTTTACACGCGCGCGTAGCACTCGAATACGCACAATACGTATATCAAATTGTACACACATGCGTTAAAAAAATATTGCAACATTTATGAACAAAACCAGAATTCTTATTGTGACGAAAAATATGACCCGCAACGAGTGAAGTTTTCTTTTATTAAATTGTTTTGCGACGATATATAAATATATATACATATAGTGTCAAAAAATATTAGTTTCTGTCTCTCTCTCTTTTGTTCTCTTATAATACATTTGAAGCTTGAAAATATTATATTGTTTGCACTTATACTACAACAGACATTCGCAAATATTCCTATTTTAAATGACCGAATTGAATGTTCAAAACTAGAACGTTGATGTCATCTAGTTTTTGAAAATAAAATATTAATGACATTTGTTATATCTATACTAAGAAAGAGAACAAGTATTAAATCTCATTAGAGAGTTCAATTATAAAGACTGAAAATTAACAGGAGATAGTTTATAAACGTAATAAAAACTTCTTTTTAAAAAATTCATCAAAAATTTCGAGAAATTAATTTAGACATATTTAAACAAATTTTAAAAAAATATTTAGTGGTATAAATAAAAGCGCAATATTTTTTTATGGCAACGCAAGAACATTCGATCAGAGAAAAATTCTAACTGGACGTCGGCTCAACCCGATAAAGCGCCGTCGTTACCGATAATTATCGGAAAACACTTAGGGTTGGTGTCATGTGTGCTAACCATACTGCCTGATTGGCTTGGAACTTCATTAATCACCGTCACTGCTTGATGTATTATTCGCTTTTAACGTACAAGACAGGCCTGGTATCACGTCTGAGGAACTTTACTTGGACACTGCATTGTTCACAACTGGTGCATGCGATCATTTATACTACTGACTAATTTGCAATGACAAGTCGTGACAAGATTAAGACATGAGAAAATCTAAGATTGTATTGTATAATACATTAAAAGAGTGTTGATAATATCATATTTTTATCAGTTATAGTTTACTCATATCTTAGTGTACACAGAAATATTCTAATTTATTCCAATCTCGTCAGTCTCAACTCAACTAGTTAATCTTGATTCTTGTCTCCTGTTATAGCATTACATAAATTTCCCGTTGATGTGATTTCATGAATTTTAATATATGAATATTTTACGAATATTTATGTTGCCTTTTCATGAAGCTAATCAAAATCAGTCGACACATATCCATATGTTTAATATATATCTATAATTTGCGTATGAAATAACTAATTAGAAACCGATCAATAAACTGTTATTATTCTGCTATCTCTGCAACAAAGTGATAGAGATATAATAAAACGTTTACACTATTCACTTGTTTACCTTTAATGGAATTTTGAACTGACAACCGACGATGTAATCAACGATATATTCGTCCTATTATGTATTACTGATAAGATAGCGTAATTTTCGATTTTATCGGCATTGCTTATGATACATTTTCAGATTGGTCGAGAGGACGAAGACAAAAGCGAGGAGATTAACCTACCACCATTCATCACACCTCCACCTCCGAATCCAGATTGTGAGTAAAACCATCAAGTAGCCGCAATAACGATTTTTTAACTGCTCATAAAATGTAACGTTATGTCGTAAATTACATGTAGGAAACGTTCAATCTAAACGATATCACATTGTAGCCATAAGGGATAAATAATTGATTTACAAAATTGACACACATGTAAAATAAATTCACAAATTAATTAAACTTATTTCGCATCGATACTCTTTTTAATCAATTAATCAATATCTCTATATTTAATGTTTCTATTCTGTTTCTCTCTTGTTCAAGTTTAAAATGTTTTAGTATCGTTGTCGCGCTTGTGCAATATTTTCCCAATTTATTGCAAGGATATTTAAAGTAGCTCGAAATAGCAATATATCGTGCATTTTGGAAAAGTCTGACAGTTTCTCAATTAATCAATGCAAAGAAACATTAATATTCGTTTTTTTTTTTATCGACATCCCGAACGTAGTAAGGGCGTTAAAAATCGTTTATTAATTTCGTCATAGTCGATGCGCGCTGTCGACTTTGGAGGTATCGCGTCGAAGAAACGATGATAAAATATGAAGCAAAGTTTTTTAATCTACTTTTCGTGCGCATAAATCATTTCGTGCGTCAAAACAGAGAGCGACCAAGTTGCGTGGACTTACGACGTCACATTCGTTTTTCAGATAAAGGTCCGAAAGGTGAGAAAGGTGACAAAGGGGAAAAGGGTGAAAGCGTACGAGGTCCTCCGGGTCCTCCGGGACCGCCGGGTCGCGATGAGGTGAGCATATTATTTCTTATTTCAGAGACTTTTTTATAAACAAATTTTGAAACAAGTTTAATAAATACTAATGATAAAATAATTAATTTAAAATAAAAGCTAGTTTTATTTTAGTAAATATATACATGTGCGTATGCGTGTATATATATACAACAGCGTAAGATTTTATTAATGAGACAGAGAGGATATGTATTTTCTCATAGACGTGTATAGACACAGCTCGTTACATTAACTCTGGAAACCGCGATCGTGTCCGTAGATCCGAGCGCGGTAACGATATTGAAGGCGGCCTGAATGCGCCTGAATCCGGGATCACTCATTTATCTTGTTATTCGCGTGAGTCAATTTAACATCGACACTGGAGAAGCGCCGTGTAGGTACATTGATTACGTCAAAGCCGTTCTCACACACAGTATTTACTATCTTCCGCCGTTATTACTACGCATTGTACACATTTTCTACATGCATATTTCCTCAATTTTTGATATTCGGCATTATAAATAATTTAAAAATAGTAAATAGTAATAAATAATTTACTAATTGCTATATTATAAATTAATTTAAATAAAGCAGTGTTAATGACGATAACAATATTAAATCAATTTTTGAAGGATTGGCTGGTCAAGATACCGCAGGGACCACCTGGTCAAAAGGGAGATCCTGGTACTTGCACATGCAACGCCACGGCCTTAATGTCTTCCTTTACAATGCCAACAATGATACAAGGACCGAAGGGTGAGCCAGGAGTACCAGGACAAGAAGGCAAGCAGGGTTCAATGGGACTCACGGTACTGATTTTTAATCTCAATTCACAACGATGCAGACTTAATGACAAATTAGATGACTTAATTTACTTGTATGAAACATATCTCTGATAGGGTGCGGCAGGACCGCCAGGAGAAAGAGGACTGCAGGGTCCGTCCGGAGCAAAAGGTGACAAGGGTGATATTGGAATACCGGGACCGGAAGGTCCTCAAGGTCAGAAGGGAGAGCCGGGTCGCGATGGAATTCCCGGTGAAAAAGGTGCGCAAGGTCCGCCGGGACCGCCCGGAAAAGGAGAATTCTCTGGTTATGACGTAAGTAGATTACGCTTGAATATGATCTGTCATACCCCGAGGCCGAAAGCCAAGTTAAAATATTTTCCCCGGCGTTTTCTTCTGCGCGGTTTGCATTCGCCATTTTTGTTTATTCCGCGAGATCTCTTTTATATCTTCTATTTCCGACAATAAGTTACAATCTACATAAAACTTTCGTAACAGCTTATATTTGCTTTTTTTTACTATTGTTAACTTATACTTATACCAATGGCTGTTGTAAAAAAGAAATAAGAAAATGAGAAGATATAAAGATAATAATTGTCTGAGAAAGACTTTCTCATGTTTCATATTTGCATTTCTGTCTTTAAATGTACACGAGAGATATTATTTAGCAAAGTTATTTTGTAATAACTGTACGTGCCAAAAACTTGTTGATGACATTGTCATCATTATGTACACACACACACAATATCAAAAACTTATATAACCCCATTAATGTCTGTAAGAAACTAAAAGACATTTGTTCAAATGGGATTTCCACATAGTGCAGCGACATGAAAGCGAAAACAGAAAGGAAAGAGAGAGACGGAGTATTGTTAACGAGAGATGACATTGAAGAATTTCCTATAGAAGAACATTTATTGTATATATGCAATTATATTGCGAAGTAGCGGAAATTTAAGCGCGCCCGACCGTACGAAGTCGTCGCTATAATAAGTAGATAAGTATCTCTATTCAAGAAATTTTCATTATCCGCGTATGAATCTAGCTCAGCCGTATTATTCGCTATTTTCCCTGAAACGGACACGCGGCAACGAGAGAAACTCCGAGGGAAATGGAGACCATATCTTCTCCCGCGGAATGGTCGAGCTATTATCAAAAGTATGCTATTTAAACATTGCATTTGGTACCGTCCACTGTATATTAACTCAGTAAATTATACCAGTTAGTCATTTCTTATTCATATACTTGCGAATGATAAAACCAATTGGGTGAATATCTTTTTATGTTCGCGAAACTCCGCATAAGCAACATATCAGTTTTTTTACCCACTATATTTGTAAGATATAAAAAATAATGCAAGATAAATTTCAAAATACAATCGCAGCACAATATTGTTATACCTACTATTTATATTATCGTTTCGAAGTATACGGAAAAGTCTCTATCTCAAGTCTCTGTCGCGCAATGCGCTACTTTTGCCTTTACGTGTAGTGGAACAACGACTACAGCGATCCTACCTCACTGTCGTCGTCGTAGGACGAAGCGACAAGAAATTCGTTGAATGGAAATGGAACGCGTATCGCCCCATCGGGAATAAGAAACCGTGCACGTAATAACGGCCGAGTTGTAAGTCCGATCCTCAGCCTCCTCCCTTTTCTCGTCCACGTATTCGCGTTTCCTGTCGCAAATTCTCTCTCTCTCTCTCTCTCTCTCTCACGTCGCAGTTTGCCCCGATCTATTCTTAACAATGCTGCAAGTTTCACTCAGCTTTTTGCCAACCACGAAAAATGGTCGCGAATCGTGCTGACAGACTTGCGATATTAAAACGATATACGCGCGGCATATGTATATCTACGTATATCCAATGTACGTGGCGGCAAAAGTTGAAACTTCGTATGGACGATATAGTTCTAGGAACGTTACGTTAGATAACTCGAAAAATCTCTCTATAACTATACTAGTTCTTCTTGTAAAGAACACTTCTTTCTTGACCTTGCGCGTAACGCTTTTAGTAGTTGCAACATTTCCAACTTTCTTCGTAACTGCAACTATAACGTTTCAAGGAGGATATAGAAGAGAAAAACAATTGTCGTAACAAAACATTGATATAAAGACCTAGAATGTTTGTTTTTCCCTTTCACTTAGACAGAACGTCCATTAGACGTTTAACTTTTTTGTGAAGCCTACATTATTACTCATTCGTTAATTAATTTTCTTCTTGTTACTCGTGTATTTTATGTTATTTTTAACAATCCGATTATTTTTCAAATGTTTTCGATTATCTAGATTTGTGACAACTCCATCGGACAGATGTTCGTTTTGATAATATTCAGATAGCACCGCGTGAGACGAGTTAAATCTACTTAAGATTGATATTCCGTGCTGTCAAAGCCGATGGTCCAATTCCGGAAACCGCGTTTGGTCACAAGAGAGAAAAGAAATCTCCGTGCTGTCGCGGAAACGTAACGATGCTGTCGCATCTCGAACCGTCAATTTACCCCCGGAAATGCGGTCGTTTTTCACCTTATTCTCTTGTTACGCGGCTTCCGTGGAGGAAAGCGCAGCAATATAGTACAGAAATACAGCTGCAGAACGAAGGGCATCATCGCGTCGCGTTATCGGGGACCGCATCGCTTCGCTTTATCAACGACACAAAGCTCTGACGCAGATGTGCCCGCATACCGCTGGAAAATCGGCGGTGACGCAATATTTATCCAACCCTCATAGCTAGCTATGAGAAAGATTGTAGAAAAAGAAAAAGAGAGAGAAAAATACAGTAACTAGCGTTACAGCTTTTTATGCTGGTGGCACATTTCCAAATGTTACACCGTCGAGAAAAAAGCCGACCTCATCCAGCCTAGTAATTGTTGGGACATCGCAACGGACAAAAAATCTCGTTATTTTCCTAGCTAAAAGCACAAGAAAAACACTGAAAACTTCCTGCAATTGCAATTGCATAGTAACGCGTAATAATTGCATTGCAAGATTATTAAGTTAAATGTTTTTTAGTATTATATTCGTTATTTTAATTCTACAAACTATGACATCTCTCTATACCTCTCTATAGTTTATCACGTTGCGACAGAATCAGATAATACTGACTGCAAATTAGATTACATCTGTATTACATCTGTTACACATGTATTCCCATGTTGTTATAACAAGATATCGATCATTCGGCCAATTTGAGGAGACATAGATACGCGTCTTTACAACGCGTAACGAAGACATGATGAGAACCACAATTTTATTTGACTTACATAATTGTAACAAACACTCACTGATTTATTCTATAAATCAATCTTGAACGTCACAATTTCGAAAAAGTATAAAAGTCAAACTTGATCGATCTAGAATAGGAATATTGAATCAGGAACTAAATATTTTATGAAAAGATCAACAAACATCAATCTTGTCGTCAGGACGGTTTATGCAAAGATAGACATTCGTGCATACCTTGTGCGCTGCAACAGTTATCTTACGTGACCTCGCTTCGCATCGGTCCTTCCTCGGATGTGCAAGAGCCCGATTTCCCCGGGGAATACAGAAACCAATTTCTAGGCTGCCTACTGCATGCCGGCTAGGTGGTACGGCCAGGTAGGAAGATGTGCGGATGTTGCGAATGTCGTTGAAGACAGGTTGGGTTAGAAGCACTCAATTGAGGTGTACACGTGTTTGGATGCCATGTGTGCATGTACGCGCACCGATCGGTTCGGTGCGTGATCACACTCGAATTCGAATGAATGGAACACGAGAAAAATTCGGAAATTATATCAAGACCGTAGCCGCGAAGCTTTACCATAACAAAACTACTTCAGAAAAGAGAAGCAGATTTGTACGCAAAAGAAATACTTATGTAGGTAGAATAAAGCTTTGAATTGTTTCTGACATATATAATACACGTTTATTAGAAAACATTAATAAGTATATAAAATCAATCTCTCGCAAATCGCAAAATTTTTAAATAATCTAATTTTATCGTGCAAAAACAATTCAAATCACGCGCTGTCAACAATTGTTCATGCACCAACAATTGTTAGACCGCTAATCAATGGCAATGCAAACGGCAATGTCGGAGAGCAAGGCTTTCAGTCTCGCCACGTTATTCCAACGATCTAACGGTGAAATTTCAATTATTATGCGCATGCAGCCTAGTTGGAAACCTCGAAATATTTACAGGGTGAGTACGCGGACTGGAGCATTCTGATTGCGCCGTAAATACCTACTTTGATGCGCGAGATTCCCCCTTTTATTAAACGATGCAATCCTAATACAATTCTAATAAACGTTTGATAGCAATATCTATCAATTTTATTGGTAGATTTTTTATTGCTTGATACGTTATGTACAAGTTCTTATTTGAAAATATCTTGTTTATTGGATTTAGACGGAAGGCATTACAATGAGACCAGGGCTTCCAGGACAGAAAGGTGAACCAGGCATTTCAGGAAACCCTGGTCCGAAAGGTGAGGCCGGGATACCCGGTGCTAAGGGTATCAAAGGCGAACCCGGTCATAAAGGTACTAAAGGTGACCATGGCAAGGATGGTCCTAGAGGAATTCAAGGCTTTAAAGGTGAGCCTGGCGCGCCTGGCGCACCCGGACTACCTGGTGCACCCGGTGAAAATGGACGACCAGCAGAGAAGGGAGATAAAGGCGACACGGGACCTGAAGGCAAATCAGGATCTCCAGGACCACCTGGTCCACCTGGTACAAGTGTTCCTGGTGGTATAAACGTAGGCGATTTAGGTAAGTAAACATCTCTCTCTAAATAGTTTACATGGTGTTTTGAGATATATTTATATTTTGTTGACCCTCAATTATCGCGATAACATCAATGTTTTGACATTAATACGATATTAAGGTAAATATTAAACAAATGAGTAGTTTAAAGAGTAAAATAAAATGAAGAATTGTGTTAATCGAAAGCAACAATAATTCTATTTTTTTTTTTATTATCGCTGTATTAATGGTGTTTTCTTCCGTTGAAGAAGTTCAATATTGTATCAAAAGACGACAGAATATATCATTCAAACTGTTATTTAATTAAGGATTTGGCAGAGGCGACAAAGGCGACAAAGGCGATGGTGGAGCACGCGGATATAAAGGTGATAAGGGCACGAAGGGCGAGAAGGGCGATAAGGGTGATGGCGGGCCAGCTGGCATTCCTGGAATAAACGGTATTCAAGGACCTCAAGGAGATAAAGGCGAACCCGGTAAAGACGGAGTATCGGGATTATCCGGTATACCTGGTGCTAAGGGTGAAAAAGGTGAAAGAGGTCCTCCCGGAGCCACCACCGTCGCCAATTCTGGAGACTATGTCACTATAAAAGGGGAGAAAGGCGCCGAAGGAAAACGGGGCAGAAGGGGACGACCTGGGCCGCCTGGTCCTATAGGTCCACCCGGAAAACCAGGAACTACGGGGGAAATCGGTCTACCAGGATGGATGGTATACATTTGAATCCATTATCTCATTTTATACATACAATTATATTATATGTTGCCACAATAATTATGTAGATAATAAATATAATAATATTATTTGGATGATCATCAACACTATTTGTATAATACTATTGTGTAATAATATACGTTAGCATTTGATGTTATTGATAGTGGCAAATAGTAAGCGCAAATGCATTCTTTTGTTTCACGCATATCTTACGTTTCGTTATCATAAATTTATAAAACACATCTCATTTGTATACAATATATATGTACATGTATGTTTTATCTCTTTTGTAACGCGACCTTTGTGAAGAACGTAAAGGTGAGCTTTAAATATCAAATTATCGAATACTACTTTGTAAACGTCATTGTAGCGTCACACGTATTATTTGTAGTAAATAATAATTGCACACATAAGTTTTTGCATCTTTTTTTTTGTATGAGAAATGAATTTAATTGTCATTTTTACGTATAAAAAGAAAGTTATGTTTGTTAAACGCATTTTTATTGTGATCGAAATCAAATAGCCAAAACTCGTGCTAATTACAACAAGTGATTCATTTGTCATTGTCTTTCTTAGGGTCGTCCTGGGAATCCTGGAATTCCGGGAAGTATCGGACCAATGGGACCCAAGGGAGAAAAGGGGGAACCCGGCGCGCCGAGCCCTTATAGCGTTTCCGTTGGTGTAAGTATACCTTAGAGTTTCTCATCGTGGTATCGGCTGTGTAAACTTCTTGGGAACCAACTTTACATATAAATTCAAATGTCTGTTAAAAGGCGAAAATCAAGAACGTAAGACAAAGCAATACGTCTTTTTGAATGAAAATTCCGCACGTGAAGTAACCGTATCGGACGATCGCGAACAAAACATGGAAACAAAGACAAAATTGTCTTTTGTCCAAAAAGAAAACGGGAATAAAACTAATAAAAGTAACGATTTTTGCTTTACACGCACAATTTCGATTTGACAAATTCATATTAAAGTGGTATAATATATCTTCGTGAATAGAACAACGAAAATCTTGAACTACGGCCGATGCGCAACGTACAAGTAGAAATTAATGCAAAAATACGTATGGGGCATACATATCTTTTTTTCCCTCATCTTCATTGTTGGATTTATTCGTTGCGCCAAACAGAAATTGTCTCCGTCGCAGTATACGGAGTTTTGTTCAAACTGTCACGCTCGACAATTGACAAATAACACATGTTGATACGCGTAACAGCACTTCGCTTTGCCGCGAGTCCGTATTTTGTTTTTGTAAAATATCCGACCAGAAAACATTCCAAACAACAATCCTTTTAAATTTTACTACCTTTAGTTGCGAAGTATGTAACATTCAAACTTTAATAATTTAATAATGTAAGCCCCCCGGGATGGAAGAGAGACGCAACAATTAGTTTGTAACTAGCTCAATTATATTGTTGATTCGTTTGATCTACACATTCGCTTGCAAAATTTCACTATCTCTCGCTTCTCTTCTTTTGTCTTATAACCAATTTTATAATAATGCCGTTTATTTACAAATATTTTCAAGTCGCTTTCACAATAAAAGTTTTTTTATATAAGCCTATCTAAGCTTTTACATTAATGTGTAAACAAAAAGCGCAACATTTGGCTTGGTTAATTAATTTTACCTTTATTTTTGCCAGAACGTTTTCCTTTGTTAGAAATTTTATTTGAAATTTTTTGTGATAAAAGTTAAGAAATATATTTAAACAAATATAGAAAAATATATACAATTAAAAATTTGTTTAAAAATTCTTAAAATAGTTTTTGCTGCATACTTTTAAGATCTCTTGTACAGAATTTCTACGTTTTCACCTAAAAAAGAAATCGCAAAGATATAATGAATATAATAAAAAGAAATCGTTTTGAGAGAGAGAGAGAGATAAAAATTCCATAAAAGTATAAAGTACATAGATAACGAGAAAAATTGCTCGCATGATATCTATCAATTTTCTAAAAGCATAATACAACATTGATAGCGACAAAGACAAATTATTATCCGAAAAGAGTGATCGGGAAAAAGATAGAGAAAAAGAGAGAGTGACAGAAAATTTCGATATCGTTCTCTCACGATCGAAAAGATGCGTCTCGCGTCTAGCATGTAAACCATCTCGGATGAACATTCGTGAAAAAGAACGCAACGAAGGAACGTCGACAGAAAGCCGACGTGATGCGCCTAAGCGATCGGTGCATCTCATTTTTCGATGTTTCCAATAAATCAACCACTCCTGTTCCTGGCAATACCTTACTACTTACTAACTCCCTACAAACCTGTCTATCTGTCTATCTGCATATCGAAGTGATGTAACGGATAAGATATTAATAATAGCATCTTTCAAAATATATATGACACATTGGTTTTTTGCACAAACAAAATACCGCTTATAAAATTTAAAGTATTCTCAAAACGTTTTAGATCAAAGGTGACAAAGGAGACAATGGTTTTCCTGGAATTCCTGGAAGAGACGGCCAAAGAGGACCTTCAGGGCCTCCCGGACCTCCGGGTCCACCATCTCACGGAAAATATATCCCAGTTCCAGGACCTCCGGGTCCTCCCGGACCGCCTGGTCCACCTGGATTGTCTTTAATCGGACAAAAAGGAGAACCCGGAATTGGTAGAAGTCATGCTTTCGGGGAGAGAGATTATTATAGACAAGGTACAGATAGTGATAAGAATATTGTCAATTATATAATTTCTCGAAAATAACATTGTCTAACTAGATTATCAAAATATTCAATAGTTTTACATTTTTAATTCTGCATATACAGAAGTATATGCAGTTTAGTATTGATAACAGCTTTATTTTTCTTTTTTTTAATATTATATATTCAATTTATTATTAGACACTTATTATATTTTTATCTCTAACACACTTTATATTTCTTATTAAATACTTATAAATGTGCGTAATACATTTTATACTTGCTTACCAAGGACCTAGAAGTAGTCTGGATGAAATAAAAGCTCTGCGTGAACTCAAACAGCTAAAAGAGTTAAAAGAACAATTAGGTAATCTCTCTCTCTGTGATAAACATTTTAATTATGCAGAAAAACTCTCTTTCCTAAGTATTTGTTGTACTTTTTAAGTCTGTTATAAATTAAAATATTTATTTTATGATAAAATAAATTTTGATAATTTTTTTAAGGTGTCACTGCCGTTACAAGGGGACCTTTAGAAAGTACAACGAAAATTGTGCCAGGAGCTGTTACGTTCCAAAATACAGAAGCCATGACAAAGGTGAGATCTTTCTATTGTTAAAAAAAATTGTCTTCAAAATATATATGTACATGTATACATTTACTTTAATATTGCTGTCTTAAATTACAGATGTCTAGCGTTAGTCCAGTTGGAACTCTGGCGTACATAATAGACGAACAAGCTTTACTAGTCAGAGTTAATAACGGATGGCAATATATAGCAGTCAGTATTTAATAGTAATATACTATTACATTATTTATCTTTGTGTGGTAAAATTAAATGTTTTTTACGCGTTATTTTCAGCTTGGATCACTCTTACCTATCACAACACCAGCACCACCAACTACGGCACCGCCTCCAGCGAATCCTCCCTTCGAAGCATCCAACTTGATTAATCAGATACCTATGAAAGCCGACGGAACAGGCGTAAGTTAAAAGCTTTTCTCGAACTTATTTAACATTAGTAGAGATTATATATTAATTTTGTAATTTTTTCTCACGCTGCCCAGTGGTATCCGCGAATGGTGAGATTTTACAATTTTTAATTTTTTTAATCCGTTTTATCTTGCATGTTTAAATTGGTAAGATTCCGCGCAAAACCAATATGAGAAACATTAATTTAATTTTTTTTTAATTTTGTGCAAGATTATACATAGAACTTGTGTTTTCTTATTTCTTTTATATTCGCTAGATATCTTATATTCAATACAAATCATCTGTACTTTTCAGTTAAGAATGGCCGCATTGAATGAACCATTTACCGGAGATATGCATGGCATACGAGGAGCAGACTACGCTTGCTATCGACAAGCAAGACGAGCGGGCTTGAGAGGTACCTTCCGCGCTTTCCTCAGTTCTCGAGTTCAAAACGTAGATAGTATTGTTCGATTGGGAGATCGAGATCTTCCCATAGTTAACATAAAGGTAATTAGCGTGTTTATTATTTTTGCTTTCTTTTATATTAAATGTAAATATTTAACTTTGTTCAATAATCGGAAATGTTTAGGGAGACGTGCTGTTCAATTCTTGGAGAGAGATGTTTAATGGAAATGGAGCATACTTTTCTCAAAATCCCAGAATTTATAGCTTCAACGGAAAGAACATCCTTACTGATGTCGCATGGTAAGACATGTTATATGCACACAAAAATACATATGACGATAAGTTTTTAATATATTTTCAATATATTGATATATGTCTTATATACATATATCTTATCTTCTTAGTATCATGATGTTCTTTCAATTCCAGGCCCGAGAAAGTTGCGTGGCATGGCTCTCACAAACTTGGCGATCGAGCAATGGATACTTATTGCGATGCCTGGCATTCGAGCAGTTCAGATCGCTACGGTCTAGGATCACCATTGACCGGTGGTCGTTTGTTGGAACAAGTGCGATACTCGTGCGACAATAAATTCGCGCTACTCTGCATCGAGATCACGAGCGATGTGATGATAAGAAGACGACGAAGCGCCGAGAATCAGCTGGAAGACGATGCTGAGATGACGGAAAACGATTATATGGATTACTTGGAAGAACTCATGCAATACTGAACGCTCTCTTTTAATCATCATCATTATGTAAATAATAATGCAGATGCGCGTTTCCGACGCGCATATTCCGCGTTCGAATAATATTAATTCATATCGACGTATACATATCGCGAAATGATAGCGCGAACAACAGCGTCGCGCTTTATCCCAAAGTCACGAAGCTAAGCCTCTAAACACAAAGGGTATAATTACTTGTACTTTCACAACTCACTAGCCATCTGCTTTAATCGAATCTCAGTTCTCTTTTCTCAGTCTGTAAGAGATAAAAAAGAAGACTGATCGTCTAGATACTCATTCGTCAGTGTTCCGTCGTTATTAAGTATTTGTATTTGGAAACTTCTACCTTTTAACAGACGATCTCGAGAGACTCGGTTTTGTTCGAGATCTCTCGACGAAACTGCCATACAGTTCAACGCTCGTTAAGTATTTCCCCTCCCCCCCTCTCATCACGATAAACGTCCAAAAATATTCATACATTGTCACAAAAGTGATACAAAATCCAGAGAACACGTCTCGCTCAAACCCGCGTTTATAGCACATTTTAAATATTGCAAAGCAACTGTCTTATAATTCTAATCCTATCCTCTTACACCATACAACATCTCACGCTTACTCGGCGATTTGGAGTAACTATAAGTAGTTGTTTTTGTTTTGTTTTTTTTTTTTTGAAGAAAAAAGCCAAATATTTATTTATACTTTTCCATCAATACTACACACATATGTGCTGCCAATGCGGGAGGGGGCTATATTTAAAGAGATAATTACTAAACACTGCTCTAAATAAATCTAAACCAAGTTCGTATTCGCGATCAAGTTGTATTTACATATTAGCTGATACATATTGGGTGTGTATGTTAGACGTAAGGCGCATCGATTAAGGAGTTCCAACGAGTCGCTTGGCTCGTTGTTGAAGATTTATGCTCCGTGTATTTCGTGGGTCAACAAATAAAAACTCCCCTATTCTTTGTCATAGACAAGTTCTCATATTGTAAAAATTATTATCGATTTATTGCCGATTTATTTGTGTATCTTTTATACATGTAACTTTCTCACAAAACATTCTATATAAAACTTCATCGGATATTCAATAGTCACGTAGAGTTATGGACGTTATTTTTGTGCGATTAATATTCTGTGTATACGTAAAATGTGTATACTATAGAAGAAAACACATCCGTTCTCTTGTTATTTATCTTTCTCGATTACATTATTTAACTTACAGGAAGGTTTACACATTCCTGGCCTGTAATTACGCCGAGCATAAATCGGATCTAAGTCAATGTTTACAACTCGATGATATATACCATTAATGTGTTAATAATAATTTATTACGATTACATAGAGATCAATCATACGTGTACTTAGGTTGTCAGCATGCTTGTTGGCGAATATTTTCTACGTATAGATACGTAAACATTTTTTTAATATCATCACAGTAGTAATTCATCGTGAAATACATTTAAAACGTACAATCGATTGTTCTTCGATATGGTTTGCACCGAGAATATTTCGTTCCTAAATTTTATATTATTTGTACACTTTATTATATTGTCTTTCTAAATAAAAATTGAAAAGAAAATCTTTCCGAATTATATTACACTTCCTTTTTTTGTTAAAAACAATAAATTAGAATAAATATAATATACAGAACTTTGATTCAACGGATTAACGGGGCAAGAGCACATAAAACAATTTTTTTAATGATATTAAAGTCCGTTAAATAAAAACAAATATATATTTTTTAGGTCTATGTATATACATGATTCATTAAAAACTAAATTAAAATCACAAAAATAAATACTCACGGTTTAGTTTCATGTTCGTATAAACTAACCTCGCGAAGAAAATTACTATCTCTTTGATTGATTTGGTTCGTCTGTCGATATGGCGCTCTACGGCGCGCGTCGATACTTTGAGAATCGAAATATCGCGCGCTTCGAGAATCGCAATATCGCGCGCTTCGAGAATCGCAATATCGCACACTTGGATTGGCGGTCATCGTGGCGGACGCTCGATCCGGAGTAAAACTACGTGCGAATTGTTCTGCATTTCCCGCGGTTATTGTTGTCTCGCTCGCAAATATTTATAGTACGCGTGTGTTGTGCAAGGTATCGAGCGTTCATAGTGAGGTAATTAGCATCGCGCATTCGCTAATAACGCTAATCGGCGAGTTTACCATGAAAGTGTATCGCGACTATTCACGGTTTCGTGAAGCGCGAGTAAGAAATAAAATGAACGACGAACCTTGTTCAAATTATTCCGTTCTTTTTCGCGATTATTCGCGTCTCGGGCGCAAATATGTGTGTTGTAAAGTATCGGACAGCCGCAGTGATACGTAATTAGCGTTGCGTACTCGCTGATAATGCTATTTACGGTGAATTCGTATCGCGGCTATTTCCGAGAAGCGCGAGTGAAAAACAAAATGGCCGACGAACTTTGTTTGAATTGTTCCGTCTGTCTCGCGATTGTCTTGCGCGCAAGTACGTATGTCGTAAAGTATCGGACGTTCACATAATTAGCATAGTAATAAATAATTAGCGTCGCGTACTTGATATTCGGCGAGTTTACAGTGAAATACGTATCGCGACTGTTCCGCTCATCTCATCGCGGCGCTTCCGCAATGAGAGCGCGAGAAACAAAATTTCGTACACACGCATTGCTGCAGCAAATGGTTCCAGAACCAGGACTTGTGACAAAAACTAGAGCGATATCTACAAAGGAAAATGGATGGAAAATGGACGGAGTGTAACAAGATGGAACGTATTAAGTAAGTGCACATGTTCTTAGATACAGTACATAAAAAAAATAAAATTGTGGTTTATTTTGCTGTTATATCAGCTCAAATAAATCTCTTAAAAAATTGTGTATGTCGCTAATTATAAAAAAAAGCAGAATAATTGAAAATATCAGTATAATAATATACTCACACATTTTATTACAATAATACAAATGTATCTTTCTGATATATTTTAAGAAATTTAAGAAAAATGTATTTAAGATTTGAGCACAGTTAACGCTTCCGTGTAATTTAAACCTTCCAAGATATAAGCTAAATTTTCGACTGACGCATCCTCATCTTCTTCAGCCCATATCTCGAGCATATTCTTACATTGTTCATATGGTGTTGGTTTGCTTTGAAAGAAAGCAATTTCTTCATTAGTATAGCCAAATTTCGTTGCCAACTTCTTCCAATCATTTTTCAGACTTTCCGATAATTTCACTACCATTTCCGGTGTGACTTTATTCAATTTCCTGGTTTTTATATCGGTAGTCTCAGAGTCTACCTGTTCATTATCTTGCTTCAAAACATCTTCATTGAAATCTTGATCAGCAGATTCCGATGGTGGTGTCGTTTCTTCAGTTTCCGACTTTATATCAGACTGTACTTGCTATATACAATCAAAGATAAGATGTAAATAAATTAAAAATATGGTGCATTCGAAGAATATTGAATACTCACAGGGCGATCTTTGGCAATCTTCTTAATCATCGTTTCAAGATATTCAGGCAATTTATTAATGGGATTGTTACCGTGAACGAAAAAATGCGGACTTCGTCTCGCCAACAAACGTAACGCTCTCCAACCAAAGTTTCCGTCGTTTACTTTCCTAAATTAAAACAGAAGAATAAAAATAATAACAAACATCATATTAAATGTATGACAAACGGTAGCACTTACTTGTATTTATCATCGACCATCGCGGCAGGATCCAATTCTAATATGGCATCTTCGAAATACGTTTCTAGGGACGGAAGGAAATCTCTATCTTTAGATTTGCAAGCCTCAAGATTGTTAGGACACAAATTCCATAATTTAGTGAGTTCTGGGCTATTAAGAAGTAATATAGGTTTAATCATTTTACTCTTGCAAATTGTTGATTATTATATTTGGTGAAACTTTCTTACTTTCCCATGTGATATTTGCCAATTGCTTGCGCATCTCTAATAACATCACCGATTCTTCGTTTTCTCTTTGGCTTTCGCGGTTCTTCTTCAGCGGTATCTGACGTCGGCCTTTTAAACGGTGGACAACCTTCGTTTTTCCATGCATTCCAATGTTCTTCGCGCTTCAAAATATTTTTTACAGTCTCTGCAAATGCCGGTCCATCAGGTGGCGTTTCAGTTAATAGAGAGTAAACTTGATCTGTGGTAGTCTTCACCCATTCCACTTGATCCGACTTGAGTTCGTGTGTCTCACTTCAAATTAAAAAACATCATAGTGATTCGATAGAGTACATGCTGGGATACATTTTATTTGAGAAAAGCAGACCTTGTCTCATAGCCACTGGCAAGGAAGCTTTGGAAAACAAAGATTGTTTCATAACTATTCAGATGTTATTTTTCTAATTATCAAGCAATTTAATAATTTGATAAAAGAATTGTCAATTCGATAAAGGAAAACAGAATTTCTGAATTTACACAATAAGGAATTCATGTTTTCTACAGAGCGTCAGAAAACACTTACGCTTTAAATTTAACAGTGCTGTTTAAATACTGGAAAAGAATGAGAAATTGCAGCAGTACATATCGCCTAAAATTAGAGTCAGATAGTTGTAGTTCCAGTAACTTCTGATTAGTCAAATATTTTGCAAAGTAATGAGTTTCTTTATGAGAGCCTTCTCCAGAGGAATCCATCTTCATGTATGTTGTAGGATAACTTCGTTGTTCCTCCAATTTGAAAGAAGCAAATGCTGATAGCACATTAGAGGCATGCTACAAAATTATAAAAATATTTTATAATATGTACATGTTATCTATTAGCACACACACACACACACACATATATGAGTACATATACTTTTGAAAAATATATACTTACAGTTGAAAATACTTTCCAGTGAATTTTATTATAACATTGATTGGGATTTCTAAAAAAATCTTGTAGAGCCCAAAACTTTCTATATAAATTATAATCAATAGGTATTTTGTTTTCCGACTTATCATCATCTTTAGTTATTTGTTCTAGATCATTTTCTGCTTCAGAGCCAAACTCTGTGTAATTTTCTAAATTGAACTCACTAACAATATTCAGACCTGACCTTTCAGAAAAAGGAAAGAATTTTGCTAGAAACAGCAAAATTCTGCCACAAAATACAGTTTGTTGTGAACGTGACAATCTTCTCAACAAGTCATTACACATTCTTAATAAATTATTTTTGCAAGCAGTAAAAAATAGATCTTCCTTCCATATATTAACATTGTTCTCCACAAAGATAAACAGTTCTTCACACTTGTCAAGCGTCATAGAATCAAAAATGTCACCCAGTAACATCACTGGCATACTAGCTGTTGCTAGATCCTTCCTGCATAATTCTATGCAAAATGTGATGTAAGATTCGAGAACACTCACATTGTCCGAGTTCTCTGTTAGCACTATCAATAGAGTATCTCGTAGTGCCTGATCAACTGCAGCTTTTCTGTCGCCATCATTTGCACAGCATTCAATACATTTCTTTTGAAATGATGCAACATCTGATAGTTTGAAATAATCTCGCAAGTAATTCTGAAGAAAGAACCAAACTGTTTTTTAAATAAATAGTATATAACTATAAAACATAAATATAACATTTTACTATCTCTTCAGAAAGTTCGACTTACGCTATAATTTTTTCTCAGAATTTCAAACATCGCCATAATGATTCACTATATATAAATCACACAAAAAATCTATTTATTCCACATTCTTAGCTTTTCCAATTTATTATTAGCAACAAACAAGAAGTTAGGTTAGGTTAAGTTACTGCCGCGTAGAGAATATCCTCAAGCCGGAAACACACGAAAAAACTTAAGCAGTGAGATGTGAGCATTAAGTAAATTAACCAATCACAGGCTATAACTTATGTTCAAAAATGCTGGCCTGTAATTGGTTGAATTGCTTAATTTCCATTTCTGTTCTAGCCATGTTTACACTACTAATAAGTTTGGAATATTTTCTTTAAAAAAATATCGATCTTATATCACACAAACTATTATAATCAAATTTTTAGTATAGTTATAAAATATTTTAAATTTAAACGAGACACACAAAAAAAGAATCATTTTTCCGATTTTATAAATGTGAAGGATCTTTTATTAAAAACATCAAAATATCTTGTACAATAATTAATGTTCTATTTACATTTTACTTTGCTGATTCATAACAATTTAATATAATTTAATATAAACAAATAAATAAATAAATAGATTAGATAACGTTTTTTTATCGCTGATCACAAGCTGACAATTATTGTGATCTATTATTTTTTTCTTAAAATTTTCAGTCTACAATAACGAAAACTGAAAATAAGTATGTAGTATAAAAGAGAAAAAACTTCTCTTCTAGTTGTCGTAATCATTTACATATCTACATCTGTATATATATCTTTTTTTATTGCACTTTTAGGCTATTTTTCATCAATCTTCTTCAGAGTTTGCGTAAATTTCTTTTGTAGTAAATACAAATAAGAAAAGAAAGTAAAAACAATCTATAGCATTTGAATATCTATAGGTTTTTTCTACTGAATAACTCTTCCATTTCTTCCATAAGGTGCACTTACTAAATTGTTCACAGACCGATACACGTAAAGTTGTTATCAAACTCTTCCTATCAATGCTTTATACTTGAAATATTAATGATTAGTAAAGTATAAGAACTTATTTAAGTGTATGTGAACAGTTTAGTTCAGATTTTAGGATACCGTTAACATTTCAGTCTGCAACTCAGCTACAATTTACGTATCTTAGATTTTGAATCTTATCGACTGTGTAAGAACATTTGGCAATATTCCCTCGATCATATCAATATCGAAATTGATTGCATTTCGTTGTCTAAATTTTGAATGTTTCTAATATCTTTGTTACAATAATGATAGAGTATAACGATAAAATTCAAACACGATAAAACCATTATTATTTTTGAGCAATTCAAGATATGCCTCTGAAAGCGTTGTTACGTAATTTCAGACGCGTGTATATATAATAATTGTTTTACTGAGTAAAGATAAATATGTAGATATAAATGTGTTTATGTTATAAATTAATTTCTTAAACTCAGATGCAGCTAAACTTAATGAATAATCGTAGTTTGCGCGCAAAGTTCATCTTGCTTTGAAAATGCAATTATCAGTTTCGACAATTATAAGAATTATATATAAGAAATACGTATTTTATGAATTAATTTTTGATTCTACTTGACAATACTGTTAACGAGTATAAATTAGAGAAATTAATTTGTACAATTAAACTTTTTTTTTGAAGAAGAACATCGCGATATTAAATAAATATCGAGATAATTAGCGAAGAAACTGTAAAATTCGTAATGCAACAAGAGCTTGTATATAAAGTGTAGCTCAAGTTTGCGAATATAATTAATTTGTGCATATTTTCCTAAAAGACTATCTCTGAGTCTGTTTTTTAATTGTTAATTTTTGTAAACGCGCCTTTAATCCATGTGGATTTAATTTCACTCTTACAACTTCGGGTTTGTTTTCGAGCTTCTTACGAATTTCCTCCATTCGTTCTTTTTGTATCCTTTGCTGTTCCTTTTTCCAGATATCCTGTAAAACCCAAAACTCTCGTTTTTTACTTGCAATTTGTTTGTTTACTTGCATTTTGAATATGAACAGTACCTTAAAATCTCGGCAAAAACCAAGCCACAGATGGAAGAAGTCATGTGGTTCCGCGGTTTCTAATGTAGTGCCTTTTGGAATGAACTGATAAAATCGCATTACAGACTTAAATTTGTTCTTGGCCTCCTGTAATTCTTCCTTTTTGCTCGCTAAATCAGTACCTGCTTTTGCTACAAATAAATCCACTTTCTTCTTGAATACCTGAGATGTAGCTGGATCCGCATCCGCGACTGTATTACACGTTTTTCTGCATGCTAAAACAAATTAGTTTTACATAAACAATATTTTTGTATATTATTTATACATAAAATAAAAATCGCAAATACTAAGATAAAAAAGAATAGATAATTAATTAAATGTGTGTATAAAAAATTTAAATTTCACTCACTTTCTAGTTCTTTTTCTAATCTCTCAAGTTCTTTGGCTATTTCGTCAAACTTAATCGTTGATGCGGCTTCTACATCAGCTGGTTCAGGCACTGGTAAGGGTAACGGTTCATCAAAATTATGCTCTTTTTCTTGAGATAATTTCGCGTTAACGACATAATGTAATAAAGTGACACCAGGTACGTTGGACTTGACATCTTTCAGTTTGCCGAGAATTTCCAGGCCAAAACCATCGGCTTGGCCACGCATCATATTTCCACCGTTCATATAATTGCCCAAGGTTAATATAATTGCCATTACTTTCTTCAAAGACTCAGATGTGAGAAGGAAGTCGCACGTAGAACGTACGTTGTTTAATTTATACGAAACCGATGAGATTGCTTCTTGAAATTCCGATTGCAACATCAAACAAGCTATTCTTTCGGAAAAATGCTTTATTCCAGACAATCTTTTGAGAAATAATTCCGGTTGATCGAGAGGAATGTCTGGATTCATCGATTCGTGAGCCGTAATTTGTTCTATCTCGTCTTTTGTGGGTTTCTGAAAATTAACAATCGTCAATATAACAAATATACTTGCTCAAAACAAAAAACAAAAAATTGTTTATGTTTTAAAGTATTTTTTAATGGAAAAGATGGAAATATGAAAGTAGTTAAAATTTTCAAGAAAAACTAGTAGTTTCAAATCGTCACTTTTATGTGTGTGTTAGAGTACATATATCTGAGATATGCACTATTTAGCCATTATGATCAGGATCATAAATATGATAATTAAAAAAATACACATTTTTGTTAATACATGTCAAAACAAAGAGAAAATAGAGTGATAGATCCAATAGATTGGATTAGGCAGATAAATGAAAGAAAAAAACGATATTTTATCAATCTTTTATTATTCATCTAACTTGTATTCAATAGTTTTTCAAAAAAAGTAAAAGAAAAAATTATTAAACAATAAAAAAATTGAAAAAATTTTTAACAATATTGCAAATTCCATTTTACAATTCTTATTTCTATCTTTTCCTTTATATTCTTACTCACAATTTCGTAGATTTGTTGCAATGCTTCTAGACTGATTACACTTGTGTCTAAATTATAAGCCGCATTTTCAATCTCGCTAAAGTCAATATGCAAACTTTTTTCAAGAATTCCCACCATCTTTGATCGCTTTGAGTCAAGTATTTTTGCTGGTTGAATCTTAGAACTTTTAGACGTTTCCTCGCTTTTCTTGACCGGATTTTTTTCTCTCACTTGACGCGAAAATAAATCAGCAAACTCTTTCATATTTAGATTCTCTTCCTCTGTAAGCTCTAACCATAGAGGCACCTAAATAAAAATTGAACAAGCTCTTGATGCGAGAAATTATTATCCCATCAGAAACATATTCTCTTACTGAAGTCTATACTTCCTGTTTACCTGGGGTGACGATTCTGAAGCGTCTACGCAAGTTTGATTAGTCGCAGTAACTGGCACTACAATCCTCGTCCAATAAAGCGGTTTCATAGGCACGTCAGGATTCATAGGTTGCTTTCTCATAACTAAAAAAGCAAGGAACTGTGTTACGCGATGCAAATATCAGAATCTTGCATATAAAAGGTTATACAGTATACTCTTGATTATCTAAATAATAGATAATTTAGATAATTCAGAGTACACTGTACTTTTAAAGTCTCGATACCTACTGGCTCTGCTTGGCGGATTCCACCCTCCGACTGGTGGAGCAGGTAAAGGACAAGGTCCTGTTGCACCAGGGAGTGCTGGCGGTGGTGGCGGACCTGCACCTGATCCTCCAATAGGAGGCGGAGGTGGAGGAGGTATACCTTGCATACTTGGTGGAGGTGGCGGAATTGGCGGACCGCTCATGGCACTTTGTAAAGCCCCAGGTGGTGGTGGTGGTGGTGGTGGCGGTGGAGGTATTCCGCTCATGGTAGTTTTATCGAATGTTTTATCTGTAGTACTTTGAGACATAAAGGGTACAGGAGGTGGCGGAGGAGAAGGTATGCTACTTTTACAACTGTGTGTTGTCATGGACGGAGGTAAGGGCGGAGGTGGTGGCGGAGGTATTATATTTTGTAAAGGGGATGGCGGAGGTATAGCACTTATGATACTTTGCATTGGCGGAGGAGGAGGAGGAGGAGGAGGAGCAGATATTGTACTTGCAATAGACATCGGCGTAGGTGGGGGCGGAGGTGGGGGTGGAATAAAAGATTGTGACGTCGAAGAAAATATGTTTTGCGATGGCATAGGCGGAGGTGGCGGTGGTGGTATTCGAGGAATGTCCGTTAATTCTGTCGACGAACTTATCTTTTCGGTTTTCACCGATTGAGTTACAAGTACAAGCGGAGAAGGTGGTGGTGGAGGTGGCGGAATAAAAGACTGTAGTGACGTCATCGACATTGAGACAGATGTAGATCTTGAGAAAGATTCTGGCGGCAATGGAGGTGGTAATGGCGCTGGATACGGCTTTAACTCTTCATCTGTCTGATTATTATGTGACGAGCATCGATTCGACATCGTGTCAATCGATGTTTTATTCGGGGAAGGAATCACGGTCATCTTGGCTTCTTCAAGATCTGTGATATCGCTTCTAGTCGATAATGATCTCTTAGGAATACTATCATTAACATGATCAGTTTCGCTAGTATCCTTATCCGCGGATAGTGAAATTCTCGGTGAAGTTTGAGTAGATTGACTCTTTGTGCTTGATGATGACTGATTTTTAGATACTTCACACAGTCGTTTGATCTCATCTCTCAATTGTTTTATTTCTTCCTTATATTGATGTATATCTTCGGGCATGGAATATTCAGGACTGGTTTGACTGGACGTGGTTCGAACTGAAAGAAAATCATCTGCCGGCGCGCAGACGTTTGTTCTATCTACCTGATTGAAAAAAATATTCTCAAAATAAATAATCACAAATTTGCCTGTATAAAATTAATTGATCAATATCTTACCACGGATGTGATTTTCTTCGCGTTCGATACTAATGAGATTTGAGAGATTGGCAGGTTTTCTTCTGAAACATTTATATACAATATAATGGAATAATTTCTTATTTTTAAAATTGTGATAAAATGGGACAAATATTTTACATAGATAAGAATTTCTCTTTCTGATGCTTTGTGAAGTTTAAATAAATATTAAACCAGTCTTTAAATAAGCGATTGTTTGATCTCAACTTTAAGCTGTATATTAGCAGCATTAGCGGCACTTGGATCTTTATGAACTCATATAGAATTTATTTTAATTAATATGAATAATACGTTGCAAGAACAGCGCGATTGTTTGTCGTTATGCAGCTCTTATCTCACATAATCAAGATTACTAATCAAAGTGAGTGATTTTTCTAAATACGTCTTGTCTCGTGACATATCATTAGCACAAGTTTTAAAAATCATTACGCAAAATCTACATACTGTTAATTAACACCGAGCACGTTTCTTTACAGTATAACAGCAACGTCGTGGTCTATGATACAAGAAACAAACTTACTTTTTGGCAAAGACCGGCGCAAGACTGTCAGTGTCATTTATACTCTTCATAGATTACGATTAAAAGGATTATGTTGTTTTAATTCGATATCTAATCACCAATGTGCAAATATACATGTAACCCACATGTGTACGCTTTGTATATTTACAGACGCACGCACACTCGTTTTTTCTTCGTAATCACTTTTCAATATCGCGTTCATTCAATGTTAGGCACTTCTTCATTTTGCGTAACATCACGAACACGTATTTTACTGCGTTGCTCCGCAAGGCACTGCCGCATCTTATTTGCGGGAGAGAGCACGGACCGAGCCTTCACTCCGTGAACGCCCCATCGATAAGACTTATCGACAAACAGACGCATTTTATTCGCACGTATCGTTCGCATTAACCTCGGTAACGAGTGATACGGATTATTTGGTGGCTGTTTGAAAACATATTTAATCGATGCCGCCGATGAGGAAGGCGATTAACTTTATTGCCGCACGATGTGACAAGCGTGATTGCTATCTACCGCTGTTACGACATCGGGCCATTTTTTCGCGGACGTACGAACACCTCATAAATTACGTCACTGAGAGTAGAAAAGTATATGTTTACTTTCCGTAACATTATCGCGTGTCTTTTCTTCCGTCACGAGATAAGAGATTCATTTTAAACTTACTTAAATCATTAGTGCGACAGATTCTAGATCGTGTGCTGACCCAGCTAGAAGAGATTTATCTTGCGCGATTAGTTTTTTATTATTTGATTTCTCAAGAAGCAAATCCATAAGATTTAAATTTTTTTAAAAACTATTTCTTTTTAGAGAAATATAGTTATCTATTTTCTTGAAACAATTGATTAGATCTCACAATTACGACAAATATTGACAACCTTTGTGTCTTCTTTTTACCTTTGAATTGCTTGTGACAATCCGTTTTTTGAGGAACAACACTTTTAGAATATCTTTTCTTGGCACTGTTTCTATCTAGTGTCAAACTAGCCACTCTTCTTAACACTGTGCCTTCGCTTACAGAACTTTCGTAAACACTGTGCCGTCTCTGTAGAGAGGTGATGGTTGTTAACTTGTCGTCCAATGGTATATCTAAATAAAGATACGGTTCTTTAAAATATTGAATAACGTTTACTGATTATATTGACTTAGATCTACCAGAAAGTTATCGTCAAATTTTATCATCACTTGTTTAATTTCTAAATGGCGGACTAAGTGCTTGGTAAAGAATTTGATTTTTTTTTCGTCTAAAATTTAAGAGAAACTATTTCTTACTTATACGAGGACTCATGTCCGAGAGGTGAATCTTTTTGTGCCTCGAGATCGTAAATGAAGACTTCTTTTCTTTGCTTTCCGAAGTTGGTTTCGTTACTTCCACTTTGATTGTCGCGACCGGACTAGTGAGCTCTCCGGGATCAGTAAAGACACTGTCACTCGAAGATTCCTGGCTGGGTGGTGTCGGCATTTCCGCAACGACCAGGCCCTTGTTTGCCAACCGCCAAGAATCGGTCACCAGCAATGGCGGTAGCTGGATCATTGGCGTTGTCGGGGTCTGCGCCGGTGTTGTTGGCGTCGTGATACTTGGACGGGTAGATTCTGTCACACATGGCTTCGCCGTCGTTGCAGTGTCCTTGTGACATTCAGATTCTATACTTTTCTGCGTGTCCTAATTATAAAAAAAGTTTATATTGCGACAGCGATTCGAGCCAGAGTTGCAACAATTTTTCTTTTTTTTTTTTTAATTGGCCGCATATATTTTCTATTTTGTATTACTCACAAGAAAATGAGTAGATAATTATATTTACATTTTTTAATCATGCAGAATCAAAACATCTTAGATTATAGATAGCCTGATCAAGTAATGCTTGAATTTTACTAATAAAAAAAGACTAATAATAGAAGATTAATAATAATACCTCAGTTAACACCACCCTAGGCGGTTGTGGCGCCTGTCCTTTGGCATGCCCAGGTGTCTGTGGTGGCTGCGGCGCTTGTCTTTTGGCATGTCCCGGTAGCTGCATCTTCCCAAAGTTGATCCTGGTCATTTCAGATTCATTGCTATCGGGAACTTTGGGGAGTTGGTCCCACTTATCTTTCTTTTGATCCTCGACCAAAGTGTCAAGATCTTCCGAAGATGCGGTCACTGCCGCACTGTCTTTCTTCTTCTGTTTTTTCTTACTGTCACTGTGCAGATTACCCATTGTGTTAGATAGTTGTGGGGTGTTGTCTAAGGCGCTCCAGGAGTAGAGCAGACGGAAGTTGTTGACCCAGAGATGAAGGAGGTCCGACAGCTTTGATCGCGGCGGCGTAGCCTGGGCCGCGGCTGCGCCTTGACCATGGCGGGCGTGCATCTGTGGTCGATAATCGAGAACTGCGGTACTTGCGATCTTCGCGCGCGGTTGTCGCGTGCTGATTGCTGCGAAAGCAAGTACGAAGACACGTAATCACCTTATAAATTTGATGCACTCGTCAATTATGGTTTCACTAATAGTTCATTAATAGTTTTAAACAGATATCTGTCAACTTCACGGAATTACGTTCCAAGACTTGGCAAAAAAAAACGCGAGAAAAATAAAATCGTAAATATAATCCATATCTCGGATTATTTTAAATTGATCAATGATTACTTTGATAATAAGATATCGTTACGTAACCAAATATTGACAGCGTCAATATTAATAACCTTTTATCACATGCGGTAGCTGAGCAACGTGATGTGCTATCACCTGAACACTAAACATGTCTATATAAAGAACATCGATTTATTATTATTAACGCACATATGTTTACACATTGGTGTCACTGGCAACTATCTTGACCGCATAATTTTTTTCACGGTAAGAAAAAAGTAAAAGTGAATATTTAACATGCAGATCCATCGCGATGTAATTTTTTTCACACCAAAACAAGAAAATTAACTACATAAATTTTATGTGATAGGCGCTAATCCATCAGTATTTAGTAGTTACGCAAATAAAAATTAAAATAAATACATAAATAATTTACTTTTTGACGAGTCACTTTTGTATATATTTAAATGTTTAGAAACGACTATTACAGAGCGGATTTTTATGTCAAACAAAACAAAATCGTGTCACTCAGGTCAATATACATACATAAACATGGTGCATGGACGTAACCCGAACTATAAGCTTTAAATTACTTATAGAACGTAATTTTTGTACATAGAAACAAGAAAAATGATCTTGATATCACATGAGTCGCAAAATTAAATACAGCATTAATTAGCATAATGAAAATGCACAAATATTTTCTTTGGTATAGCATTTATCTTGGTTAACGAGCATGATATTGCAACTGTTTTTATTTTCTTTTATTTTTTCGCCGATAAGTCACATATAATCTGCCATATCGTTGAGTCGCAGAGAATTTGCACAAATTTTTGGCATTTACACGCAATGTCTTTTAAACTTTTCAAGTGTTGCGATCAAAACTTTAGCATAACAACTCACTGCCCTCACGTAGTGATATCGATCACGCGACTAGAACGCCGTATCGTGCCTATTCCTGTTATTACCTCTTGTTATGCTTTAAGAAATCAATTTTCAAAGATATTTCAAGGCCAAGAAATGCTATAGCTATTCCCCTCGTTGTGTTAAACATCATATAGTCAAAAATAATTACGCGGCATCTCTAGTATAAATTGCAATAAATAAAACAATTAATCTGCATTTATATAAATTAAAAACATACAGGATAAAAATTGAAATAGGTAAAGGATTTTAAATAGTATTATGATTCAGTTAGAATAAAAAAAAAATAATTTTGTTCACTTTATTTTATCTATTTGTTAGGAAAAGTTTTGTACAAACTACATCTTTATAGATACATTCTTTTATTTTATATATAAATGTAAAAAACAATATATTATATAATTTTATTTTATATAATTTTATTTAATTATATAATTTTATCTATCCTCTTGTGTACTAATACTTGCGGAAAGAGATTTGATGCGTTACTACATAACATTAGTTTTGTATAACGTCAGTTGTTACGATCATAACGAATTAGAATCACTGTCAGTCTTACAGAGATTACAAGCATGCTTGGTAGAGGTAAGCGCATCAGAGCAGCTATTTTCCCAACAGGAGCGTGCCTTGTAATTTGGTGCGATGTGGAATAGAGTTGCATCGTGAGCACATCCCTCTTACCTGATTTTCGCACGTTGCGACAGCACCGTCAGCATGTTGCGCGTTATACTGTGCTGTTCGCGTTCGCGCGTGCCACTGAAAACTTGCGTCTCGCCCATTATCGATTGTTCACAACGGTATAGTAGGTCCCCGCACATTTTTCACCAATCGCCTCACTCCGCGACTATAAAATATCGCTCCGGTTACCGCGGAAAACACGATATCGTACACAGCAAAAAGCCGTCAAGAATTTTATTGAACAACATAAAGTGGGAGGAAGCTCCGACACATTACGGCGCAAGCTCGCGCAATCGAGCCCTCGAGGTCGATATATCGACGCCGAGGTCGACAAAAGCACAACCACAGTTCTCGATAGTTTGTCTTGCTCGTGATATAAATAACACGCGGGAATCTGGGACATAAATTCCCATAAATTCCAATTGTTCGCCAACGTTTGCTTACCTTGTGGGAATATATCGCAACATATATATTTACATTATAGAATAATTGTGTTCTTCAAGAGAGAAATATTGATCTATTGTCGAAATATCTTTATAAAGAACTTTGTAAAATTATATTTTCAAGGTGTGAAGCAAATTTGTAAAGAAGTTTGTTTTGAAATGAGGGAAAGGTAAAAGAAAGAATGAAAAACGCGAGATCGTCGCTTCATCGTTTATTTTATATTGCAACATAAAATTTGTACAAATAATAATTCATTATATCATAACTATAATGGATAATAATTAATATACGAATTTCGTGGGTACGCGCGTGTGCACGCACGTGTGCGCGACGCGAGCGATAATACACGCGCTATTAATTAATACATATTGCGAGCAACCGCGCACAGGCGCGCGGCACGCGATGCTTATTGGATCATCGTAACAGTTCGGCGATCTCTGCAAAATCCTGTAAAAATCTACGAGATCTTGTAAGGATCTAATATCGTCCAAGCCGGCGCACAACCGACGCTCGTAGGCATTCGTTTCTGCTGGAGATTTCCTCGTTCGTTCTCGGACACACACATGCGTTTATATATATTTATATATTTATATATATATATATATATATATATATATATATATNCGATCTCTGCAAAATCCTGTAAAAATCTACGAGATCTTGTAAGGATCTAATATCGTCCAAGCCGGCGCACAACCGACGCTCGTAGGCATTCGTTTTTGCTTAAAAATTCCTCGTTCGTTCTTGGAAAAACATATGCGTTTATATATTTTTTTATATTTTTATATATATATATATGTATATAATTATATATATATATATATATATCTACATATATATTTTTGTTTCATAGAGTGGTGGACAACTTCAACGAGATAAGTCGGTCGTCTCTCGTTCACATCGGGAGCTATTTAATAATTCAAAGAAACATACATTCTCTCGTATATTTACATACATCTACTTCGGCGAGCGACGTAAATTCGAAGAAACTCTACAACTTTTAGCTGCTCGTCCTCGTTATAATTATTTTCTTACAACGTAACATTTTCTTCTTTTTCCCATGACATATACATATACTCACACTCATATCATACATACATGTAGTACATTGTTTTCTCTCTCGAACTGTCTCTTCTCGCTATGTACAGAATTTCAGCGTGATTTTCGTTCTCTTCGCACGTAATTTAGCGCGAAAATCGATCGAACACGGTCTTGTTGGCGTTCTTGGGATTTATTAATCCTACGTATATATATATATAGGCGTGTTTAAAGTACACATGTATTCTCTACGATTTCGTTGTGCAAAAATATGTCGACTATTTTTTCTTCGTTTTTTTTCGCCTCACATCGGCGTTTTCGCAATCCGACTTTTTCCTCGTATATCGCGCAGTTACGTGTCATTTGCAATATTTGCATCGGGGACACAGCGAAGACTATACAACGCATCCGCGTTCTCTGAGTAATTTATACCGAAACGAGTAGATTTTCTGTTTATTTTTCGAATACCGGCGTTTTTGTATAAACGTTGCATCACACGTCTAACGTCAACGCTTAACTTTTGCTCTATGAAAGACATGGAAGTAGGAGATTTTTACACATCGATCTCTCATTCAAATGATATATTTTGCGCTAAAAAGCAAATTAATATTGTCGGTAAGAAAATAAGAGAAATGTATGTAAATAAACAATAACAAGTTCTGATAACATAACTCAATCTTATAAACTGAAAACAGGCACAATGTAAAATTTAAAAAAAGCAATATGTAATTAAAGTGCAATTCAATGCACAAGTTTGAACGATATATAATATTTTCATATAAAATTATATCATACAGTATTTCAATATCGAACAGCGTGGTAACGTTAGCGAGTGAATTTGCTCGCAAAAAAGATTTATTAGAGAGATCGAGAGAGATAAAAAGTAAAAAAAAGTAAAATTATTGCCCAACAAACTTGAATGACGTCATGATAAATATAACCGTACTTCATTATCGAAGTAATCAACGAAGAAGATTACGTCCAACAAGACTCGTTACGATCGCGTTGTTGTACGTGCAGCACGACATGGTTTCGGTGGATATACTTAAAGTATTTGTGTTCCTAATTGCGCCTATATACGTCGTGATACACGAGACTAATGGCCACACAGAACCGCGGCGTATATACGTCGATCCGCATAGCGAACGCGCAATCGCAACGGTCGAGATGCGATCGTCCGACCACAATGTCTCCGAGATTGCATTACGAGCAAATGAGATCACAAATGATGTGCGACGCAAACGCGAGGCCAAGTTCCGCTCTTTATCGCTCTTTCATAAATATGAAAAGTATAACAGCAAAGGCATCGATAAAATCTAAAAGAAGAAAGAGAACATAGCTCTTATTTTACTTAAACACAATAAAATAAAAGATATTTTATTGTTCTACTATAAAATCTTTTATATAAAATTTTTCAAAAATAATACATACAAGTTTTTTTTATCAGTTTTGTATTCGTAAGCGAAAAAAGTGATACTTTGCCAGCGTTCGATCGACGGTAGAAAAATATAAAACTGAAGAAAGAAGTAAAACTCAACAAAAGGCGGCGCATAATCTTTATACGTCGCATATATAACTATAAAACGGAGTGACGCGTAAAATTCGCGCAAACGTAAAAAAGTGTCTATACATTTGGGTCGTATTTATCGTAACTCTGAAATATTGCGGGTTGAAACAGCAAAGTTCGTTGTTACTAAAGATTCGTTTTAAGATTGATTTAATATTAATTTGAAGAGAGTCGTGTGATGCATTCAACATATAGTGGACTCTCACGTTGTTTCTATTTTATAAGAAACTTATTCAAATATTTACAGCTGTGTGATATAAACGCGTCGTCCGTCTGTGTTGCATAATGTATATTGTAATAATGTATATAATAATCCGAGAAGGTCATCTATAAGAAACTTGTAAAGTTAAGATGTTTTATTGTGGTTTGGTTTGAACGTCACGAGATGACATTGAACCTATCGTCGTACTATTTTTCAGCCCGATGGCCGTCATAATCAGTGTTTTGATTTTTTTTGTTTTGTTTTTTTTTATCGTGAATTTGTTTTGAACACTGTTCATGATGGCCGTATCTCAATCAATCATGTATTCTCACAGCAAAAGAATACATTTCTTACTTATAAACGTTACACTTTAGTACGTACTTACAAAAACCCGGCGTGAATCGTCTCGGTCGACATATTTACATATACAATACGATATAACATCTTCGATTCGACACACACGTGAAAAATCATGATCGTTTGTCACTCGAAGAGACAGCGTCACTCACAAGTGTATATAAAAGTATAAAATGCGCATCGAACGCCGTGTGTCGAGTAATCACCGATAATAGTCAGACCTTCTCTTGTCTTGAATCTTTGAAATATCTTCCCGCTTATATATAATACGACATCTTGTTTTTTACGCGAGTCGCCGGAAATTAAAATATCCTAAAGTATTTTATCACGGTAACTTGGAAAAAGTTTTTATGGACACAGTCTCATGAAGAGTAAATGTTTGTTGTAAATGCACTCGAAAGAAAATTAATGCACAAAATGAAATAATAAAATAACAATAGACATTATAATAGCCAATATAAAAAGTTTTCAACAAAATATGTGTATGTTATAAATATATAGGAAAATTTTGTCGCGGACAGCATCGAGATTAATTAATTAATTATACAACAGTAACGCGTTTCAGTCCGAACTGGCAGTTAATTTTTTCAAGATCGATATTATATGTCAATAAGATTGCCGGATTCTATAAAACGTCAATATTCATTCAGTCTTAAAGCGGCTTAAACTTCGACACAGATCTATCTGAATATCAAGACTTGCATGATAAAATGTGTGACAATTTTTTTGAAATATTCAAAATTATAATCATATTAGCAAAAATGAATAAATTAACGGACACGGACGAAGAGTAATTTGTCGCACAGGATACATCGTTCTTCTTGTTGTCGACAGTTGGTAAAATCCCTCGGGAGACCGATATCGTTGTTGATAACCGTTGACTGACACACACGCGCGTATCGATGATATTACTGTCCGTAATCATGTAACACGGTACGGTCACTCTCACAATTGTTCCGACAGAATAATCACTTTGAGCGTCTGGACATTATCGTTGTCGAGAAGTTTGTTGGACCCTTTGAACGATACCTTGTCCTCTTCGAGACTTTCTGTAGTAGTATGCTCGCATCCTTCCGCCTCGGCTCGCTCCTCTCCCGGTGGAACGTTCTCTTCTTGTTCCGTACTTCCTTCCGCGAGTAGCGATTCACGAAGAGTTTTACTCGCGCCGACCACCAGATCGTCCGAGTCGATTAACGCTGGATTGAGGCTGTCCTTTGAACATCCCACCTGTGATCGTCCTCGTATAATCGGACTATGCGACGAGTTGGTGAGTTTCCTGGAAGTGGAATTAGCAGGACTATACTTCGCGGTTACTTCCAGAGTTCGCCTGGCCGAGTCCGCGTCCGCGCAACGAGTTATCAGTGGTGACAGTCTTGAGGAATCGTTTTGAGGACAACGCAAAGAAGGGCCAGGTGAGAATGGCAAATGCGGTAGCCTCTCCGTGGCATTAGAAACGTCGAACTGAGCTCGCAAATTTCCGTCTAGCACCTTGGCATCTGTAGAACAGTTCTTCCCGTCGGCTTCGTCCGGACAAGCTTGTCCTTCCAAGGACGACGGCCGTTCTAGTAGGCAGCATCCATCGAACACATGAGAATTCACGTCAGCGCTTAATCTTAACGTTTCTTCTCGCGACACAGCCGCTTCTTCGTCGAGCATTGACGTCGCATTGCCGTCGTTGCAATGCTCTTCCAGCTGATCGACGGCTTCGGGAACTGCCTCTAAAAGCCCCGAACGATCGACTCGTAAGGACACGGGACGTACGCCGACATCTTCCGCACCCGTAAGTACGCAAGGACGCGGACACATGACGGGATCCGTTTCTGCGATCTCCAACAGTCCAGATTTATCAACTCGTCGGACTGTCACTGATGCGGGCGCGCCATCCAGATCGCCGTACGACACCAGGCCGTGGCAACCCCTCGTGTAATATTCCTCCGCGGGTAATGTCGGCGGACTACGTTGTAAACCTACGTCGTAAACCGCGCGGTGCGAAAAATGTTGCAGCGGACGCATCGGAAGACCCAATTGCGAGGTTGCCGTCGCAGTCGGCGCGGCGGACGTTCTTGCCGATGGCGACACCGAGGGATTCTCGAGGACAATATCCATACGGTGACGATGTCGATGATGATGATGATGATAGTGATGCGGGTGATGCTGTGTCACCGTATGACAAGGGGCCTGCTGCTATAGCCAGGTGGTGCGCGTGTTTCCGGCTCGTGAGCCGGTAGGCAGATCTCAAACGATTATCTCGCGAATTATCCGACGCCTGTTCGGCGTGGAGTAGCCGGACTCCAAGCTCTCGTCATACGAGAGACTGACCTGTTGCGGCGGCTTCGTATCCTCGTCGTAATTCTCCTGGTACGGTAATCCCGACACGTCATAAGGCGAATCTGTCGAAAATAGAGTGGACAATTAATATGAAAGCGGAATCGCGAGATTGCGGAAGCCGGCGGTATGAGATGACGGGCGGTAAGGGACAGGTCGGAACAAGCCTTCTCAAGTAGAGAAGGCATATATTGCAAAGCAGCGCGTTGTCGTACCGCGTAAGATCGATGTAACGTACGATATAATCTATAACGCTGTAGCTCGACACGCACACCGGTAATATAGGAACTGTCATTAGAAGCTGGGTCTTGGCCGAGGGAGTCACGTAAAACGATCGTAAGCCTAATACTGACCAACGTGTTTCTGAGACTTGACGACGGTGGCGAAGGGCTCTGAGCAGAACTGTTGCCGGCTCAGATTATGGCTTTCTCTGTAATCCTCTCGTTGCGGAAGATAATGAGGGTGCGTGGGGTAATCGGATTCCGTAGTACCGTACCCAGCGAGATCGTACGGCTGGTTAACGCCGTTTGCCGCAGCGGATTTCATCTGCCATATCGAATCCTGTGAATTCACAGAGCCTCCGTTGTTCGAGTTTGAATAACTATTATCCATGTAACCCATATTCACGCCTGTGAAAAATCAAAAAGTTGCATATCATATATGGTTTGTTTTAATAAGAACTTTGTAGATAAAATCAAAAAATGTGTAAGAGTTGAAGAGGAAGTTTTTTTTTATAATTTCTAATATTTACCGTTGATATTGTGATTAGGTTGATGATAACCGTATCCCGACTGCGAATAAGCCGGAGTTTTTGAGTCTTCCAGAGCCAGAGCATGATCCAAACTGTGTTCTAGAGCTTTATTCTCGGCATAATATGGTGGTGGTGCTTGCGTTTGTTGGCCGTTTCCAGCTACGAGACTCGGACGAACACTGTAAAATAAAAAAAAACATCATTCTAATGAGACCTCTTTATTCAAGTCACGTAAAACATCTAACATTTCTCATTCATAGCGCGCAATAACATCGTGAGATGAAAACTTACGCGTTTGAGTCCATTTCGTAATCCTTCGCCTTCGTCGCGTGTTTTCGTCGGCATCGGCAGAACAACAGCAACAAGGCTGCGAATAGGAGAAACACTGCTCCGCTTACTATCAGTGCGATTAAAGTTGGCGTTGCGAGAGCTCCGGCTTGTGCGATATAAGATGGTCCAACTGCGCAAAAAAAGAATAAAAATTGTTTCAAAATAACACTTACATAAAATAAATTTTAAAAATAATAGTGGGGTAGTATTATTTTAGATTCTAGGAGAAGTCTCTTCAATGTTTGAAAAGTTTTGCAGATTATATAAGAAATTAATTGGCTACTAATAAGAGATATAAATTGACAGAAAAATCTATATAACCTTAATAGAGTTAGCTAAGTTTACGTTATTGATAAGCTGCGAGAGAAATAGCTTTTAACAAAAACTCATATTTGAAAACTGATTAGTATCACAGAGCTGTGATAATTAGTTTACTACTAATTATTCTATACCTACTAATTATTATACTATTATTACTACTAATTATTACTTTCACTATTAAGAACATTTTTAATATTTATTGTAAACTATGAAATGTTTCATTCCGTTGGCAACGTATGTGTGTACATGTATAAATGTACATAATAATGTAATATAATTTTATTCGAGATTGACTCAAAGTCAGTAAACCATTATTCGTAATTATTGTATTCTGTACAAACAAACTTACTTTCGGCTTCCGCGTACTCGCCGCACTTCTGGCGATCAGCTTTGAGGCATAGTCTAACTCTGAGATGAGGTTCCGAGTCGGCCGCTTCGGGATCGTCCAATATTCCTTCCCTTTGAGTAGGCGCACTTCCGAGAACTTCAAGAGGCCACTCGTCGACAATTCGCCACGAAGTATCCGAGCCTCCGTCAAACTTCTCGATAGACGCCACCAATGCCAAGCACGTGGCACCTACATTAATAGCAAGCGTACCACTTTCCGGATCGAAGCTCACTCTCAGTGGCGTGGGTATCTTCGCGACCGCCGTAGTAGCGCTAATTTCATCAGAGTAGTCAGAATGATTCTTGGTATTATAAACCTTCACCTTGAACGTATAAGTCTGATGTTGTTCTAGACCGGTCACGTTGCACGGATTCGATCGGCGACAATCGAGTTCGAGCCATTGACCGGCTGGTCCGCGAGGAGGTGCGCAATCCGGCGCGACTATCTCATCGCCACCGGCTACTCTTCTGTACGAAACAAAATATTTGGTGATAGGCAGACCACCGTCAAAACCCAAATGCCACAGAAGAGCGACGTATGTAGGCCCGATTTCCATAGCAGTGATATTCTTTGGCTTTTCCGGCGCTCCTTTTGGTTGCAGTTTGATTTTAGACGCAATGCTACCTTGAACGTTGGCAGCGCGACAAGTGTAATCGCCGTAATCTGATTCTCGGATATTTGTGATTTTGAGAATGGACGTATACACGTCGTAATTATCGCTCGTGGTAGTTATTTCATAGTGAGCGTCGCTCGATGAACCCTGAAGAGTCGCTGCGTTATTATCGAAAATCCACTGAAACTCGGGTTTTGGCCACGCTTGGACTTTGCAAGCCACTTCGGCTATCTCGCGAAGATTATAGGCCACCTTGTTATGCTGATGAAGTACTATGGGCCCGTGTTCCACCTTGAGCATCATCGTGGACTCAACCTTCTTCACATCGTTGACGAAAACGCAGGTGTACCTGCCGCGATCGGCCGCCACGATCTCCTCGGTCTGCGGACGAGCGTGACCCAAAAAGCTCAGCGTGGAATTTACGGTTATTACGCTACCGTGGCCCTCCGACGCCGTCGTAATTACTTTGTAGAGCCTCTCGTCGGCCGTTAATTCTTGATCGTCTTTCAACCAGCGCACGCTAGGCCGCGGTTTGCCCTGCGCTACGCAGGATACTTGGAACGACGACTCGCCGACTCTGCGATAAGCAAGAAGACGTTACATTATTAGAACAGAAGATATATCTTGTTCTACCTGCAAAGCTATTTTGTTCGCCGCGAGCGACGCATAGCTCACGGAAGAAATGTGTAGAAGAAAGCGGACGTAAAGGTCTGCAGCAGACTTCCACAATTACGTCAACGACGTTAGAAGGAACTCGAAAATTAAAGGACCAACTGGACGGAAAAGATACATCACGAGCTTGCAAAAAGCGAATTGCGCTCACAAATTCAAACATTATTTTTCACCAAATAACATAAAAAACGAAGCAAATGCAACGAATATATCTGCAAAAATATCAAATTCAAATTAAAAAAAATAATGTTCAATTTTTTTAACATACACAAAAAACGAATGACTACTATGTATTAAAGCAAAATCAATAGTAGGATGTTACGTTCGTGTAAAGTAGGTGCTACTTACTTTCTCGTAACATGGGGTTGTAATTTAGTCAGAATCTTCGGCGGTTGATGAACAGTGAGATTGACAGATGCGGAATCACCGACGCCGATCTCGTTCATCGCGTAACATTTGTAAGTACCCTCACTTCCGAGGTGCACCGAGTCGATCTCGTACTTCGGACCTGACGGTGACATCGGACTTGGGCTACCCTCCTTCTTCCACTGGTAAAGCGGTTCGGGATAACCAGCTGGGTTGGCCGTGCATGTCAAAATCACTCGCGAGCCCTCAACAGCGACGGGTGAATCGGGAGTCACCCTGGCCGGTCCGGGCTTGTGTCTCACTCGGATAGTCACGCTAGCGAAGGCCGAGTGATTCCTGCGTTCTCCATCGGTGGGATGAATCGTGTTAACCGCGCGACACGTGTAGTTACCAGCGTGGTCCGCTGTGACCCGAGTCAATCGCAAGATCGAGCCTGTTTGTCTGAACTCCGGTCGATTCTCTCGCAGCCATTCAGTCACCGCCGGCTTCGGATTGGCGGACACATTGCAGTGCACGGTCACGCTGTCCTCCATGTCGGCTATTCTAATAGCGTCACCTTCGATCGATACCGTGGGCGGATAAAGCACATCTAGGGTCGAAGAGGCTTCACCTTTCTTCCCGAGTCCGTTGTCTGCCTGACAGGTATACTTGCCAGCATCCTGCAGCGTCACTTTGGGTATCACGTGCTGAAAGTGCGTGGCAACGAAGCTGCCATCTCGCAGCCAGCGAACCATGGCCACCTTCGGTTTTGAATCCACGTAGCACTCGAGGCTTGCGGTGCCATTCACCTCGACCTTGAGCGGATTCTCCGGGCCGACACTCACGCGCGGGAAGTAGTTTACGTTCAGCGTGACCGACGCGTTTAAAGTTTCGCCCTCGCGCATCGCACGATTTCTTACGACACATCGAAAGACCGCTTGATCGTCTTCGCGCGTGGGTTCCACTATCAGTGTTCTGCCGGTGTGCAGAGGTATACTGTTGTTACCGCGATACCACCTCACTTCCGGCTCGGGACTGCCGCCGTAGGTGTTGCACTGCAATTCAAGCCTCTGACCCTCCGTGGCCGGTGCGGAGGTCGGCGATATCGTAGGCGGACCGGGCGCTCTCAGCACCGTCAAAGTGATGTACTTCCTGTGAAAATCGGTGCCGGTGCTGCTGGCCTTCAGCTTACACTCGTATTTGCCGTTGTCGCGCTCATACGACACGTTCAAGATCTGCAAATCGTAACGGCCTTCTTCCAGATTCATGTACACTTTGTAGTTTGGCGATAATGATCGATTTTCGATCGCCGCGTTGTCGAGATTGTTGTTAGTATGAGTTAACCAGAAACACGTGACGTTTTCCCTTGGCGGTGAAAATCGGCACTGCAATAAAACCGTCGAACCTTCGTGCGTGTCCATCTGCGTCTCTTCTACGCGAGCTCTGATAGGTGCTGAAAGTAGAAACCCACATTGGTTACAGATCTATGCGACTGAACATTCTATCAAAAAAAGAAAGAAAAGAAAAAAATTCGGAATTTCTATTTGCATTCTAAGCAGCGCTTATCGCGCATTTTTTGTTTTTTTCTTTCTTTTTAATATATTTTAATATATTTTTCTCACTAATATTATATTTATATGATTACAGTGACAACGCCAACGGATGATCGATCGGCGGCGCGACAGTAACCCGGTGACCCGATAAAGAAATTGATCGCGCGAGAGGAACGCTCGATAAGGTAAGAATCGATCGACCATTTCTTGCTATACTTTTGCTCGTACACGCGTTTTCCATTAAGCTAGAATAAATTCACGGCGCGCAGTGCGTCGCGAGACGCGATAATGCGATACAAATTACCTGTCGGGAGTCAACCTAGTTTTAGGTTCACCGATTCAGGCGGGTCCGCCTTCTGCACAATTAACGCCAAGCTGCGTACCGTTTCGCAGCGTTGACAATGCCGATTGTCGACGAACCGTGCGTTCCGGGCATGATTAAAGCAAAGTAGGGGATAATACGTCGGCATTTAAGCTACGCGAAAGGCGTCGGACGTTTGCGCCGTGTCGCATTTACGAAATAATGAACACACGAAAACGGTTCGTCGCCAGCTACTGGAGCAGCTCGTTGCTGCGTGAATTCCTCTGTCTTTACGACAGAGCTATACCGTTAGAGAATATCCGAGATGTCGGGCGTACTGCAGAGAAATTGGTTTACTCTCTTTGCTCGTGTTTTCGTCGTAAACTATCTAATTAAAGTACGACAACATGACAGTCATAAAGAATAATTTAGAAGAAAAAAGTAATAAAAAGAAAAAAATTCTATATAACTCAAACAAATCGCTCGTATTAATTTGTTCATTACAATGGCACGCATCCAGTTTTCATGCCTGTACGTGCCGGCATTTATAGACGGATACTATTGTAATGTGTATACTTCGATAACGAACATTGTGCACATTTGCACTATGTATTTTTGAAATTCCGTTCAGGAAAATGCATTTCATAAAAATTCTATTACGTACGAATTTGTTGCATATGAATAACCAATATATGTTACCCGCGCAAATACCTGTAATAAAGAGTTGGTTTGATTATGCTATTTATAATTTAAATCAAAAAATATTAAAAACAAAAAATATTACAAAATATTACAAAATATAAATTATTATTTAAAAGAATAGAAAATGAATAAAAATATACAAGAATACGTAGAGAATTAATATGTGATATTTGATGTTTTTGCGATGTTTTGTAAAAATTTTTGATACCTTGAATTCAGATGAAGTGAACTGAAATGTCCACAAAACGTCGATATGAAAAATGACACTAAAACGCGGAAATCATACGCAGAATTAATATATTGTTTCGAAATCTTCAAACTCGAATATATATTATATTTTTTAACGTCCATAGTATACGCACACATAGAATATGTATAACAAACATATGTAATAGAGGTTATACGGAAAAACTGACAACTAATTACTACACAAATACGCAAAGGCGCAAAGGTAAATTTGAAATTAAAATTCCATTTAGTGTAACAAAAGAATTTATAAACGTCAATAAAAATTATTTTGTAATTATTATGTTTTCTACATGTATAATGTGTTTGCGTAAATATTAATAAAATAAAATTTGATTATTATTGCAAAACAATATAAAAATCTCTGCAACGTTGTTGTGCGTAACAAACGATGGAAATACGTTCAGCGGATGCAAATGGCACGAGATTTTGATAATTTTTTAACGCAAAATTAAAGGTACATAAAGTTCAATTTTATAATTAAAACATTTACTCTATAATTGCACGAAAACTAATATATTGATATATAAAAAATAATATAAAATATATAATTATTTCAATAATATGATATTTCATTAATAATTATTCTAATTAGCGGACATATTGTTTTTGATAACAATAGTGAAAAAGAGTTAATACATATATTAATATCGTCAAGGTCTAGTATAATTATATATATAACATGTTATTTCGAGTTTTATCATTATGAAGATCGATTTTCACATGACACAGCATCATGGCGTTTCACTATCGTAACACAACATCGAATGTCGACACAAATCATCGCGAAAATCGAATATCACACAGCGCAGTGACGTTGAAAACTAATAGTTCCGCAACGTCGTGACCGCAAATGTCGCGATATTTATGGTTGACTCCTCTGACGTTGGTTAACGCCAACCGAAGTTAACTGAATGCTTGTTCTAAATCATAGTCACGATTATAATATAATGAAAAAAGAACGTACGCCGGAGTTTCAGTGCGAAGCGAATGTTGGCTGTTCGAGTGTTCGCACACAAACTCGTAATGTTCAACAATGAACCTCATGACATACGGTACGGCATACGTCACGGTTTCGTATTCAAATAGGTACCCTCCTATAAACCAGTTGGTTCCGTTTGTATCTCTGTCAGTCGGACTTATCCAGCTCTGCCACGTACAACCTTAGCCATTCAAGCTAGAATTTTCAGGCTCGCCTCGAATAAATGCAATATAGTATATCCACTGCTGACAATATTAAAAAGAGACGGGGACTTTAAAATATGAATTTTCAGAATAACGTAGTAACGAGAACTGGATGTAAGCCAAGGAAATTTCTGTAAAAGTAATCGAGCGCGAGATATTAAATAAGAGATATTTTATGAATATTTAAATTTTTAACAATTCAAACATAGCTTTCTTGCAAATTCTTTCGCAAATGGAATACGTAAACATTTGAAGGATCCTTACGGATCTTTATGTTGAACTTACGATCATTCACACTGAATCGTGTTATTGGTGGCATCGAATGGCACAAGCGGCCACGTTTCTCGCGGCGAGCGTATCTGTTCTCATTGGGTCGCGTAACGGTAAAAGCGGTCGCGCGGCTCGTCAACGCTATTGAGAATCGTCCTCTTCCGCGGCACGCCATTTTGTTTGGAAATGTTAGCGCATTCCCGCTCGCACTCGAATTCGCGAGGCGACGTTTATCTTGCTCCTTTTCGATTTATTCGTCTACGACCGGTTTGATTGTTCGTTCGTTCGTTCGTTCATCTATCCGTCCACCTATCTATTCGCTCGTCCGTGCTCGATCGGCGAATTCGCTCGTATATATCCGTTCATCGCGATGTGCATTGTCCTATTATTTTCCTCCGGCAATCTTCGCTCGCTCCGTTTCCACGGAATTTCCTCTTTTCCTTCCTCTTTTTATCCCCGCTGACGTTTACCTCACCGCGAATCCTGATTCGTGGCCTTCCCGAGAACGCGCCATTACGATATTACATTCTTACGCGTGAATAAGTTCCGGCAGCTTGCGATCTTTGGATGTGGATCGAAAGGGGATTTCGTGAAATTCGCAGCGGACGAATATCATCGAAGTAGTTGGAGCTATGATTCTTTTTGTGTCTTATGGAAAAGAAATATGTGGAAAAGAGTAAACTTCGGATTTTGTCACTGATAGTCATATATTGGATTATATATAACATTACGAATATGAAAAGTACGTAAAATTTTTTTATTCTGATAGAGAAGAAAGAAAAAGTTCTACACAAATAGAATTAAAAAATTAACTACGTCAATTTTTTGCCAGTTCACACATAATTCTATTTATATTTATATTATTAGCAGGTAATGGATTATTATTGTAGCACTGACTACTCAACCAACGTTAAATTAAGTTTCCTTTTTTTTCGACACAGTATCGACAATTTTTCTGTTCTGGGTTTTAGAAAGTTATGAAAGCGAAGGAAGAAAAATAAAAGAAGTTGGATGAAATGTGAAAGATCAAGAAAGAAAGTTTCGCAAAAATTTAATCATTTATTGGATTTACCGTAGTTCCGTGGAAAAATTCGTATGATTTGAAATACATCAAAACCGTTTCGTGCTGATATAAAATTGTCTAATGGATCGCGTTTGTGAAAAAACGGAACTTTTTCGCTTGGCAAGTCCAGACGGTAAAATTGGTTTTTCATCTTTTTCCATATCGATGCTTTGCCAAGCTTTCCGAGAAATTATGCCTTTATGACTGTTGTATGCTTCCCAGTTTCCCTCGAAGCGTCTCGTCGATTGCAAGAGTGTTGCTACAAATTTGTCGTAAGACGCTTTCGGAGCGACTTTAAACCGTTACGTTGCTCCGCGAACGAGTGAATTATGTTGTCTGCTAAAATCAACTTTCTTCGCTAGGTTATTCCGCTCTGTTCTACATTTTCCTCAAAGAGACTCTTACTTTTGCTTAAATCCGTTTCTAACCAAGTTTCGCTGAAAGTATGCTTAGCTCTTTGCGTGCGTCACGCGTTGCGTGTGCACGATTCTTTCGCGACAAGATATATGTGTACATAATATACGGTCGTTATAAAAATGACGCATTAATCTTTATTGTACAATCCAACAAGTAGAGCAGAAACGTGCGGAGAGGTGTCACTAGCTCATCACGTGTCGATGATATCATGGTTATCGATTCTTTTTCAACGTTGTTCTCTTAACAGAAATTCGATAAATACATCCATCACTTATGCCAGCAATATTAAATACCTTGGCGATTAAAATCTCTCATTGAAATATACCGTGCCAAAATGCATTCAATATTAACTGGGCAACGGTATTCCATTATCTGTTGTCTATTAAAAACGATAATTCAAAATCGTAAAATTTCGCGCAAATTTTCGGTCCGGCAATTCCTATTAAAACTCGCCATTCCTATTAAATTTCTCTTTTGATAGCAATTATTTTCTTCTTAATTTACACTCGCTTGCGAAAGTTTAAACAGGCGGCTTCGTCCCCCTGTATATTCAGTGACGTTCTACTTATACCGCGATTATGCGTGCCGCGAGAAACTAGGGGATGGAATCCCGGCGCCAACCCCTATATAACATATCTTATTGTCGTGCAGCCATCCCTTTCGCGTCTTTATCCTTTCCTCGTTCCGTCTCTCCAAAATCATCTTTCTCGTTATCA